CCATCATCATCATCATCAAGCCACTGCCATCTCTCACGTACCCGCGATGTTATCTACCTTGGCACCTGCACAGAAAGCTGGTTTCACTCACGCTCCATCTACTTGGGTGGACCTTTCATCTCTGGTGGTTTCCATTCTTTGGCTGCAACTTTGTCATTGTACTTGGACCATCGGCCATCATCATCCCAGCTAGTGACCTGCCCTGTGCACACCCATTTACGATTCTGAAAAACAATTTTCACGTGGACCGCCTCTTTCTGCCTCTGTGTAATTCCAAGCGTGCATTGTATGCTATTCTTTATTTAATTTAGTTAATGATTATGTTTTTGGACAATGTCATAGCACTGGTTAAACAGGTTCTTTAGGCAAATTTGTGTTACTTTCATCTAAAATACTGCATTCTGTTGTGTTATCCCATACTGATATATCCATTTTGTTTGTTGAACTTGTACATGACCTTTGGTTTGTTCCAATTGATCCTCAGCCCAGCTTTTTGCAGCCATTCTGTATTCTGTGTTAATAATGGATATGGAACAGACACATAGAGATTTAATGACACTTATTACAGTGAAATTTGCAGATATTGTACAAATAATTTAGTTGGAGAAACAAAGGCATATATATGAAGGTAGGAATCATGAACCATCTCAAGAGTTGCTGACATAGTACTTTTTACATCCGATGAATTATTAGAAGAACTTAATTTCCCTAAGGTACTTTATGGGCTAATATTGGCCACACTTAAACTTCTCATGCCTTACAATAATGTCCAAGTAAGCACTTCTGTGAATAAGATCCCTTTTTTTTTATTAATTTTAAATGACTCGCCACAGCACAGTTAAAATTGTAAAATTTCAAGCCACTTATAGAGTCAGGATTGTGTTTTGTGCACCTCACGAACGTTTGCAATAGGCTGGCCATGTATTTTTATGGCTGTGCAGTTTATGTACAACACAAACATGATAATTCGGGGTTTAAAAATATGAATGTAACACAACATGGGCAAAGATCCACCCACAGAATTGTTGTACTGTACTTTAAGATCATATATTCTGACAAATACCGTAGGTGTTTTGAAAAACGACGTCAAATCACGCAAACGATTTAAAGAGTTGTAAACATTAATGTTGAGACCTTGGCTCAGAAACGACCTCGCCTGTTATACAGGAGGTCGTGGGTTCGATCTCGACCCTGACGACATGTGGCGTTTACATGATCTCCACGTGGTCCTCTGGTTTTTCCCTCCACGTTTAGAAACGTGCGTTTCGAGTGTATTTGGCTGCTATAAATTTCCGAATGATAAGCCACTTCATTAAGCTATAATTTGTGGCCAGGTTGCTTCTGAATAAGAGATTCATAGCTCACTGGGACTTACCTGGTAATATAAAAAAAATAGTTTTAGTATAGTTTTTTTACTCTTAAAGGTGGTAGACGTTGCCTTCCGATGTGCCTTATCGAGGGGGACCATAAAGGAACTACGCCACCAGTCAACGGAAAGATACAGGACAGGGTGCTAGTTGTCCCTGACATACCACCAATCACATCTGGCTATTTAAAAAAAAAAGTCATATCTCATGACGTGACACGAATACTGCCAGCATTTATCAGAAACCAGCTCTATGTGCGTTTCGGAGAAACGCAAATCTCAGGGAGCTGCTAGTACACGGCTCGATGCGAAAGGCCGGCAATGACATATCAGGCACCGTTCCGTGTAATCGGAGAAGTTACAAACCGTGTATCTTCACATCAACTGATGCACCGATCAAAAAAAACCCAAATAGCATCACCATAGATTTACATGTACCTCCACTAATCTGGTTTATTGCTGCCAGAGTATGGATCCCTGCAGTCACGAAAACTTCAAATCTAGATTGGTTTATTGCAGCAAGTGCAAATACTGTAGCTGCCACTGCATTGGAGAAAACTGGTAAACGCAAGATACCATTAGCATTTTATAATTTAGCTTTTTAACAAAAATGAGTTAATGTATAAATACTGTTTGGTTATTGAAGTGTGTGTCTGTTACTGAATTAGTTAATAATAGACAATTATTCATCGGCCAATTTAAAAACGGTTGATCAGGAAACATTTTTTAACTTTTATTTCAGGCCCCAAGTTGCAAAGTTCAGTCTCCGACTTTCATCCTCTGTGTTATCTCTGTTTGCTATGAATGGCCAGTTCCTGAAACGTGACTGATATATTTTTCCTTTGAAGTGTTTTGACGAATGTGTTCAGTTTTAGTTGTTATTATCTTGCACCGCTGCCAAACGCAGTATTACCAAATTATTTGTTTCGTATAAAAAAACATGTACTGTCCATGGTACAGTCATTCTGTATGGATGGCAATCCGAGCAATAATGGAGGGTGGTGATGGTGGTGGCTATTTGTCAATCTGTCTTTAGCTTAATCAGAAAGGTTCGTGTGATTATCGTAAATGCAAAATGAGGAGCATTGTACTTTTATCTGATCGATCAGCGCTGTGATATTGTTATTACAGATATAAAATACGTACCTGTCAACCCATACGGTTTACCACGTATTCTTGTACAGGGAAATTTAGTTTTCAGGTCCGTACGGCTGTACGCCGTTTAAATACGGGCAAACATTTTTATTTGTCTATTTGTTTGTGTTTCTCCCCTGTGATGGGACTTTGTAGGATGAACGTTGAGATTTAGCTGGTCACGGGGTGACCAATACGGTCTGACTTGGGCTGTAATAAGGTAGGGGCACTGATAAGGGGTTGACAGGTATGTAAATATGGCTACTGTCCCCACAGATGTAGGGCAAATAAAGCAGTCTTAGGCACTGCAATCCTTATCTCCTAAGCCTAATCCAAACCCTCGCACCTATACGAAAATATTCAAGTGGCATCCCTTGACATTTTTATAGTTCATCAATTGAAAGCTAAAGACGTGGATTTGAGAACGGATCAATAATGATGAGTATGAGCAACCCGAGGGAGGTCTGTGATTTGATGGCTATCTGAGGGGTCAATTGCCAGACTCTGCACGTGGGAACAGCATCCAAGTTCAAGGTATACCTCTCATGTTGTTTACTGACTAATTATAATAAGATTACAAAGTACAGTACTGATCAATGTTTCCTGGTGAGAGGTGCGGGTTTTTTAAGCAAACAGACAAAGGCAAATATTTTCTTCTATAGCCAACGGACTGTTGGGACATAGTGCTTTTAGCGAACACCTATGATGACACTACTCTATCCCACCTGCACAGCTCTCCCCAAGTACGTTGAATCAAAGCCACACTATCATGCTCAAAGTTCCGAATACACTCCATCCTGCTCTTATTCTGCTTCTTGAATTGTGTTGAACCAAACTCACACTCAATGATTGCCCTAGGTTAGACGTATTCATATTGTCAACAAAATTGCCATGCGATCTTTTGCGATAAGTATATTTTGGGCCTTTGGTAAAGTTTGCGATGAGTCAGCAATTGTGTACAGGCAGGTGGCCAAGGGAGACATTTTTATGACGTGGAATTATGTGTTTAAACCTGCAGTGTGTTGATTTATACCTTGTGGTCTAGCCTTTTCATGATTGGTGCCTGGGATAAGGGTGTGTTCTAGAATGTGTGACTGTAAAAACAGGTTTTTTTTTAGTAACACCCTGCAAAGCAAAAACCCAATGGGCACGTGCCGTCAGAGACTTTCCCCCAGCTTCATGATTCATTTTATCTTATTGTGGGAAGGCAGTGGGTGGGAGTTGTGGAAAACTTGGAGAGGAAATAGGAGAGGCGTTGTACTGAAATTGGCTGCGTTCACCAGAAGCAGCTTTCCTGTTGTGCAGTCACACTGACTGCCGCGTGCGGCGGTGTCCATCGGTGCCAAAACCCCGTAGTCGTGGCATATTTTACAAATGAAACCAAGGGTAAAAATCTCACAATGACTTGAAGTTCTTCTATCAATCGTCTTGTGATTAGGTTTTTGCACAAGTGGCTTTTTGTAATATCCACTCCGCAGCCATTCCAGAAACCCCTTTCCTAAGTCTGTTTATTGATTACTCAACCTGACAATTCGCTGCTTACCCTGGACTTTGATCTGCGTTATTGAACTGCAATTTTAGTGCTGTCGTGCTAAAAAGGCAATTCTCGCATAGGCCCACTGTTCAGATTATCACACTCCCAATTTTTTAAAATAGAAAAATATATAAATTGTCCCAATGATACTACGTAGAACGCATCTATTGATTGGTAGCAATGGTAGACTTTGAACTTTGTGGAGGCATAATGACTGACATGTAACAAGCCCTGGCGTCATTTCGTGTCTTTGAGCAGTGGGCTTTTAAGTATGAATTGCTTAAACTTGACCAAAGTTTCAAGGGCCAAGTTCTGAACAAAATGGCTAAAACGCATCAAAACAGACACGAAGGATCGTGTCTACCGAACAGAATATTTTACAAATACTTGAATTGAGCTACAAATGTTTCTGACAATTATCGTGAATCCACTATCAGGCCTCCCCACAACCATGTTGCTTATAAGGGTTGTTTGACCATACATCACGCTGCTCAGTGACGGTTGGTGAAGGGTGGCGGCACCCAGGACCGGTTCAGATACCACTTGCCACTGATGTTAGCCGTGACCGGGATTCAAACTTGGGTGACCAGGTTTATAAGGCAGTGGTGTGAACCACAGCAAAAAGTAAAAATATAAATGTGCATCCCTCTAATGGCTTGCTCACGCCACTCACTGCAGGTGAAAGGAACTCCACTGGAGGGCTCTCTAGAGAGCCCCTCTACAGAGTATTTGGCCCACTTTTTAAAGCTGGCCAGACATCTCTGGGAGATTGAATCGAGCACGGTGACCTCTGGAATTGCAAGTTCATTGCATCGTAGCAGAATCCCTTTTAATGGACCAACCTGCAGGCCCTACGATGAAACAAAATTGGGAATGAAGTCTGCTTCAAGCGTGTTCCAGCACTGGCGATGTGCACCGGTGTTGTGACTAGCGTGATGAACGGTTGCGGTCTCCTGTACCACGCAGGTGCTGTCGCACAACCTGTGCACGGTGCTGCACGTGCCGCACGACCCCGTGGCGCTGGAGGAGCACTTCAGAGACGACGACCAGGGCCCTGTATCGAGCCATGGATACATGCCATACCTCAACACCTACATCCTGGACAAGGTAAGAGCCACCCACACACCTCCCACTCCCTGAGTCCTGCAGGTGTATGCTGTTTGTATCTCCCGCACGGTTGGCTATGTACGTTGCAAAATAAGTTCAACGTAAAGAGCAGGTCAAAAGTCAAAGCAATCTCCTGCTGAAATGAGCATTGAGGCGGTGCTCATCTCCTGTGTACAGCCCTGAGGCAGTGGTGGGAATTCTACATTTCTGTGATGGGTCCAAGTCTATCTCATCAGACAATCACTGTTGATTTATCTGCAAAGTGGTCCTAATTTTATTCACTCTAGAGGGATAGCAATTTTCAACCTTCCGATCACGAGCCGCTTTCTCCACTGCTGATCCACATGCCTGGCCCGGTAATACAGTCTCGATTCTGGACTAATTGTTGCGTGAGCCCTTCCCGTTACATGGGATGTCTGACATACTACAAATAATGAATGCTTAATTCCAAGGTTTAATCACACAAGTAATACCCAACACATTTAAGTAATAAATCTTGACTTAAAGCTTTCATGACTGCAGGAATTTATATTCTTTGGGTCTTTCTGTAAAGTCACGTAGATAGGTTGTTATTTTACCGAAAGACCCAAAGAATACATTTAAGTAATACTTAACATATAACCGATTATTTAAAATTGTGTTTGTATACGTTTCAATGAATCCCATACAACAGAATATTAAAGCGCTTAGAATTGGTAATGCGCACACACCATATTCTACTACGCTTAAATATTCAGCATTTCGGGAGCCTTTTCAGCTAACCCTGATTTCTGGCCTACATGAGTCCAGCTTCATGAAATTTATTTTTCTTCCCCACACTTTAGTTTCACTTTATTTTGCCCAGAGCAGGAGTTGCAAACCTCTGGCGCTTCGTGCCCAGCTAAACGTTGAATTGTTAAAATGGGCACAGAGAGGCGGCGCTTTTCTTTTGCTTTGCTTCGTGATTGACCCCACCGCCCAGTTGGACCGCTCACAAATGCGAGCAGCTCTCCACATATACGTGCCTGGACTATTAATTCCACTTTCAAGAGAATCCTCCCAACGCCCCCCTTCATCAACCCACATAAAGAGGAAGGCGGTGGTGGGGTATGCCGACTGCTAAAAGCCTGCAGGAGGCAATTGCTATTGGGGAACAATTTGGGTGAATCCTTGTTCATTCTAGATTTGAAGCTTTCGTGACTGCAAGATTTCATATTCTTAGGTTTTTTCCGGTAAAGTCACGTAGGTAAAACATCAAAATTAATAAAAAATACAATAAAATAAAGATCACGACGTTTCGGCGGCAACACAAGTCTCCATCATCAGGTGGGACCGTCACAGCCAGATTAGCTGCATCAAGTGAGGCAATGATTCGCTTTTAAGGGATTACATCTTGAATCATTGCCTCACTTGATGCAGCTAATCTGGCTGTGACGGTCCCACCTGATGACGGAGACTTGTGTTGCCTCCGAAACGTCGTGATCTTTATTTTATTTTATTTTTTATTAATTTTGATGTTTTACCTACGTGACTTTACCGAAAAAACCTAAGAATATGAATCCTTGTTCAGTTTGAATATGTAGTAGCTCCACTCTGCTTTTGATTTACAAAGAAAAAGTGAATGTTATTCCATATGCTGACCTTGGCTTTAGACCCGATGCATTGAAATATTTATTTTCAGTCGTCTTGGTTGAATGTAATTGAACGGGAAATCTAGTGCCATACTCATCTTTCTTGTTAGTCAGCAGACATCGCCAGTGGGACGGAAGGAAGCTACGGTTTAGTCATCGCAAATGTTTTTGCAGAGGTCATGCGGAAAATCTCCTTCCCCTAGGGATGTCCAGTCACGTGTGCTTAACATTTTTGTGGAAAGGAAATTGACATCACAGCTTGAGTTATATTGGTGATACCCTTTTTTTCATTTAAAACACTGGTTGATTGATAAATTACCAAACATGTGGTCGCCTATTACAAAGTACTCATAACAGCTGTTGACTTATAGATTCATACAAGCAGTTTAATGGGATACTGGAGTATATGGAAATTTGGCGGTGTAAGCAATGCATACATTTCTCTTTTAAATTTCATAATACATGCATCGAGTCGTGTACGTGTTCATCGATTATTTTACATTCATTTATCTTACATGCATTGGGTTAGTATGACCTTTGATATAATACAAGAGCGTCTCCTAGATTTACAAACAAATTTTAGCTTCAAATCCCAAGCCAGAATCGTGACAGTTAATCAAATTGCGAGTATGGTGATACTGGGGAAAAGGTACTGTTTTCCTTCCAGAATCGTGAGTAGCCGCATAATTTAGATGGCTAGCAAAATCCGAGTGGCATCGTATCTCTTAGTGTTACAGATTCTGGTGGATCAACCTTTCTCTTCTGTGAAAGCATTTCACAGAAATGGCTGCAAAGGCTAATGCTTAACTTCAGGTTTATTGTGCCTGCACGTGAGTTGGTTTTTATTGGTGTAGGACGCATGCAAGTCATGCACAAATGTAACGTTTGAAATGGCTTTTAAAAAAATTGCATCTGCTTACCCTTTGCTACACACAGCAGGCTTTAGAATATCAGGCATACAGTTCTCTTCTGTGGTGGCAGCATTTTTTGTGGGGTTTTTATCCCCAGTTAATCTATCGCGTGTAAATGATTGCATGATGGTTCCGAGCTGTGTCATCTGTGTTGGAGTGGCAACACGGAACTCCGCAGGTGTCTTGTAGAAAATGTGGGTTTTCCATTCCATATCGCCGTTAATAATCAACGTTGCCTATAACTCACAGCTGCACAGTGCACCGCAGAGAGGCATGGCACACGCAGATGTGTAATCTTGCATCTTCCTCCACTCCCAGCGTGGAAAAAGCACGTGTGGTGCCTTTGGCTGATAAAGTGTGAGCTCCGTTTGAATTGAGCGGAGGTAAAGAAAAATGCAAATAATTCATCGCTTTGACCACTACATGTAGTGTGGGATTTTTACGTAGCCGTAGGTTTTTGTGAGTTTGTATCTGATTGCGCGTTGCCCCAAAATATTGCAGCGTCGGCTACATTTCCGCATTGTAAACATTGTGTATCTGTTGCGAACTCTGAGGAAAACATAAAAAACAAAGGGTTGTCCATGAATTTTTATTTGCTATGTAAGATTGAATAGTGATACAGAACGATGCCCCCCCATGCCTTCAATCCGCAACGACTAACATGGTGACGCGTGGTCAAAAAACCCCCATGAAGATAGGCCCTCACCTAGCTGCTGACAAACAAAAGGTCTGTGTATGTCACGTGTGTTATTAACGGTATTTTGGGTGGAAGTGCCGTAGTTTGCAGATGTACTACGACATTGGTCGGCCGAGTTCGATTCCCGACCGTGGGCCGACATCAGTAGCGAGTTATATCCAAAACCGGTCTTAGTGTCTCTCCCCCCCCCAACTCTTCACCAATCCACATTGGCCAGCATGGTCATCAAGCAGTGGAAAAACAATCCTCCGTGACCGGCCTAATTGCAGCAGTGTGTTCGCTGTTCGCAACGGGACTGCGCATTTGTGTTCGACAGCATTTAATGGTCGGCTTGTTAAGAATGTAACAGGAAACAACAGCGCTGAACACGGTACCTTTTTAAAATACATTAGTGAATTGAAGCACAGTTCAGTGTGCGTTCTTGCTGCCTGAGGTTCACCTTACCCGTTCCTGCTAAGTCATGGGTTGCTTCACATTAGTTGTGAATTGCATTCTTTCGTACCTTTCCTTGCCTATAATCCATACTCCAAGCCAGCCTAGCAGCAGTTATGAAACATATCAAGTAAACAATTAAGCCCAGTATATAGCCAATTACCATGTTTGGTATTTCTCATTGCCCACTTGTGTCTGGCAGAGGGTAAAAAGCATTGCCTGGGTGTGGAGGCATCACCAGCTTTGGCCATGACGATATTTTGATCTCGAATTTTATCTACTGCACAAAATGACCACTGGCTCACTGCAACGTTGTCTGCACGCCGCGCGGCCTTTCCTAGGTGAAGCCTGACACGTTCGACAAAAGCCAGTTTGACGAGGTGTGCTGGATGATCAGCGCCAAGAAGAATTACCCCATGGAGGAGCGGCGTAACAGCCGTCTGGACGACAAGCAAGCCTTCACCTGTGGTGCCTCTTCAACTTCCTGTCGGAGGAGTCGTATCCTCTCGTCATCGTTGCCGAGGAGGTGACGGGGGCACGCTTGCGCCACACCGTAGATTTTAACACCTCTCGCAAATATCCACTTAATAGATAAAAAAAAAAAGACATTCAGGAACAGAATATAAGATTTTTCTTTTTCTATATACAGTATAAGTTTTTCCGAAATGTTATCTGGCCTTGCTGCGGATATTATGGAGATTTAGTGAAAATAAGATGAGAATCGCAAAAAAGGATAATGAACGATTCATAATGAAGTGACAGTTACGTAGCGATGACACAGTTGTATGCACACTGCACTATCAACCTGGTCACCTGAGTTAGATTCCTGTGCTCGGTTAACGTGAGTGGTGAGTGACATCTGAACCACTCCTGGGGTCTTCCCTTCACCAATCCGCACTGTACAGCTGGTGAAGTCAAACAACCATCATGACTAAGATGGCATAGGAAGGCCTTCATCCAGCAGTGGTTTGAAATTCTGGAGTTGACCAATAGGATCACAGAGCTTGGGCAATTGTTGGCAGTGGTTTTGCAGCTATCATATTGCTGGTCTGTCGTTTTACATGCCCGTCATTTGAATGGATGGTGCTGTATAAAATAAAACTGTTATTATTAAGAAAGGATTTTTTTATTGACTTTTTGCCACTTTACTTTAGTGCGTGGGAGTAAACCAAACCACGCATAAAACACCCACACATACCCAAACTTGGCACAGAAAAGTCGCCAACCTACTTTGCCATTTTACCCACTAGAGGCATCTCTCTCTCTCTTTTTTAAAATATGTCACTGAAATTTAAAAGAAAGCTACGTTTCGAAGGTTACAGCATCTAATTTTACAACCCATGCAACCACACTATAGTGGAAGAAAGATTACTTGAATGAAAATTATGTTTGTGTGTATGTGCGATATTCACAAAGAGCACTAGAAAATGTAAATGCGTTTTTTGTCGCACTATACTGAGGCTCTTTGTGCTGCTGACTTAGTCCTGAGGGTTTTTTTTTCTTTCCCTGTGGTTGGGCGCTGTGCGGGCCTCAGCGCGACACGTGATGTTGCCATGGAAAGTGACGGAGTGGAGAAAACCCTTTAACTGATTGGCACATGTGCTGATAATCCTAATCGAATTTTCAGTGGCAGTTTTAACATGGTCTGATCTGCACCCAGATGCACACGGACTATCGAAAGCCATTTTCTTTTTACTTTAAACGTGCCAAGCAATGCCACTTGATGGGGTAGTGGGAGGGAGAGTATTCAGCATAAGCGCGTAGTTGAGCATGGGCAAATATTGCTTCTATATTGGTTAAGAACTGTTTCTGTGACGTTTTGTCGGTCTAATACACTACACTGTGTATCTGCACATAAATGATGGATAAGGACATTTTTGTGAAAGGGTATTTCTTGGCACAAAGGAATGTCTGTTCCACAAGCTACGGTTGTCACAATACATTGTTTATATTTTTACATTTTTTTTGAAACCCAGAGAACATCTTGTCCCCATGGGAAATCTGTTGACTGAAGAATGATTGCATGAGGCAAGAAATATTTGTGCAAGGTTACAGAACTGGAATGGGGTTACATATAAGTTCATTTCAACGACAACAACAACAAACTCTTAACAGAATAACAACTGATATTTTACACCCCCTCCCATTAAACCCTTTAATCAACGTGTGTGATAATGAAACGATAAAATACGTGCAGTCTGAGGTCCTTTTGTGCAAAAGCACAATAGGAAAGATTTAATTCACCCATATTTTCATATCTGCGTAAGCGTATTGTCATCTCACGTGTTGGACGCCACAATGTCCGACGTTGCTCCGCGCGTACTCGGAGCTCCACATGCCGGTGATTGTGCATGCGCAGTTAAAAAAGGACCCTGTCGATTCTCCCGCTCCTATGCAACTAGGTGGACTACCTGATGAAGAAGCTGGCAGAAGCTATTGGGCTGGACTGGAGGTCGCAGGACTTCGAAGAATTGGTCGGCAAGAATGAGACCCTGGAAGAGTCCGGCATCTCAGCCTGGCAGTTCATCCGCCTCTTTCAAAACCCGCTGCCAGCTGGTCTCGACTTCCCCTCCCTCGCCTTGGCGATAGATGATGTTTACAACGAGCTGGTCCTTAACATCACCAAAAAGGTGCTGCCTTTTTTGTTGTTGTAATATTGTTATTAAGATGAACTGGCATGCTATCACGTTGAATTCATAGTTGTGTAGTTAATACAATGCTTAATTTAGTCATGCAGTCGTTACCGAATAGGTTGAGACCATAAATTCTTCGTACACTTGACTCTGCTTAATAACCGGTGAATGCCTGGTTTTGACCGCAGTAACTGAGCAGCGTTGGCCACAGTGCTCTGGCCTCTGAGCCACATAACCACATTCGTCTTTGACTTTAAACACAAAAATGTTTGGAACAATTTTTGCGTGCCATATGTGAGCTGGTCAAAGGGGAAGCTTTGTGAAGGATCTATCCATACGCGCATCCCTCTTGAATCCATCCCTTGTTATTTTCAGCACACTAATTCACGTTATACCACCGTAGTTTAATTTGTTCACATGTTCCAATTTGTTGTGGTTTCCCCTTGGCTGCACCTAAGCAAATGAAGGTGTTTATAGAGCAAAATAAAAGTACACTTATATGTTCACAGTTCAGCACGTTTAAACATGTTGCATCCCTGTGTCCGTTTCCATCAAGGGTTACTTGTTTAAAAAGGGGCACAAGAGGAAGAACTGGAACGAGCGGTGGTTCATACTGCGGAACAATATCCTGTCTTACTATACTGCCGAGGACATGAAGGACAAGAAAGGGGAGGTCGTCCTAGAAAAGGGCTGCTCTGTCGAGGTAATGGCAACACGCTGACATAAAACACAACCCTGCCTAATCTACGAATGTACCGCTGGGAGAGGGAATTTAGCTGGTCATCACGAAGCCCACCCCATTCCAACCTCTTCTATCCCAGCCCACCACTGCCTTCTGCTGCATACAGACACTGCCCCCCCCCCTCCCCCCCCTCACCCTTTCACAACACCAACCACGACTCGAACAAGTCCAATCTTGTGTCTGGGGAGGGGCGGAACCTAAGCAGAGTGAGGCGGGGCTCAAAGAAGGGGCAGGGCCTAAAAAGGAAAGGAGCAGAGCCCAAAGGGAAAGAGGCAGGGCCTTACCAGGAAGGAATGGGGCCCAAAGGGGAAGGGCTGGTGCCTATAGAGGTTGAACGGCCCATTTGCTTTAAGGTAATACAAAATAAAATGTGCAGCAGGCAGCAGCAGCATACCTTTTGTGGTGCAGATATGGCCACTGGTCAAGTGTTTTTTTTATTGTAGTTTCTGAGCAAAGGTCCAAAACACTTTGCTCAAAAACGATGACATGTTTCTTAAAGTTAGTAAGGTTCTGAGAACTGGAGAAAAGAGATGATTGGAGGGAGTTCAAAATTAGAGTCGTGCGAGGAAAGAAGAGGAAATGTAATTTGACCGACAAGTATGGTGCTTGAACAGTATTGTGTGGTGGTTGAACACAGTATTGTGTGGTGGTTGTTGAACACAGTATTGTGTGGTGGTTGTTGAACACAGTAGAAATGAAGCAGCCCATCTAGTCAGTCTGTGCTGAACTTTGTTTAAAAAAATTCCTTTGCTGTTTTCATCTCAATGTGTTTTTTAACTTTTATGCCACCTTGAAAACGATGTAAAATAAACACTCGTGTACTGTGGTATTATTGCTTACAGTTCACTTCCTTTGTGTTTGTGGGTTTTTTTTAGGTCCTCCCAGACCGAGATGGAAGGAGATGTTTTTTTGTCATCAAGTGCCCGGACAAATCTTTCGACGTTGGGGTCGAGGATGCTCGCAGGCGACAAGAGTGGCTTGCAGGTACAACAGGAAAAAAAATAGCCAAATAAATTAAATGAAAATACTTGACTTGAATTTAGATTTAAAGCTTTCGTGACTGCAGGGATTCATCTTTTTGGTTCTTTCGGTAAAGTCACGTAGAAGGGAAATAAAATAATAAAAATAAAACATAATAAAATAATTCTCACGACGTTTCGGCCACAACGCAAGCAGCTGTCCTCAGGTGAAGAACAGGTCTGTCGGGGAGACAGCGTCTGAATGACAGACCTGTTCTTCACGTGAGGACGGCTGCTTGCGTTGTGGCCGAAACGTCGTGAGAATTATTTTGTTACGTTTTATTTTTATTATTTTATTATTTCCCTTCTACGTGACTTTACCGAAAGAACCAAGAAGATGTACTTGACTTGACTTTAGATACTTCAGAGGTAAATAAACAAGGGAACGCTAACTCTACTCATCAAAACAACAATTTACTTCGGAGTTTCTGTCTAACTGTGAAAAACATAAATGAAATGACATAGCAGTGCAGCAGCCTTTTTGTCTTCTGGACCAATGTTTTCAATGACTCGAAGCAAGTTTCGGAACTATTGAGTGTGCAGGCTGTGCAATAGCACCGCGGCCCATGAGCCGGGTATGCCCAGGCACGCCGGACTACGAAGATGGGGAAACAATTGTTACGGAAGAGCAATGCTAACCGTGCTACGCCAATATTCACAGGTGACCTCTTAATTTTCGGACGTGCTATGTCGGATGCCACCCGCAGTGATCCAGCTCACGCTGCGGATGCAGCAGGAGGGCAAGCGCTCGGTGGCGCATGAGCAGAGGCAGCGGCGGCACGAGGAGCGCGCCTACAAGCAAGCGGAGCGCGAGGAGCTGTACCGCATGCAGCAGCAGCAGGAGAGCAGGCAGCGCGAGCTGATGCGACTCGAGCAGGTGGAGGGGGACCTCGTAGTGCGGGGGGGGGGGGGGGGGCGGCCTTGCTTGTTGAAGGGGGTGGGAAACCTACGGCCCTTGACGTCATCTCACAACGGCCCACAGCAGATTTGAGGCCTGGTGCTCCGCAATGTATCACTATAAGCATCTTCGCCAAATTTTTCAGGTACTCAAAGGGGGAATATTTTCGACCTGGCAACAATGTGTTGCTAATTTTTGTGAACTAAGTCGCTTCCGTCTCTGCAAGGGTCTCCTTACATTGCCGCTACTTTGGATAATAGGTCACTTAAAGGGATTTTATGAACATCATTATATATGATGCAGTGTATGGAGGAAGTCCATATAGGTAATTGATTGTACAGTACGTGTATATAACAAATTTTTACTTAGTTCACCGATTGGTTGATCTGATGATGTTGCGGGGGTAAAAATCGCATGCCCCTCACACTGATATTTCTTAACTGCAAGGAACCAATTAGACTCGATGAAATACACAGACTAAGACCGAAGGGAGTTGCAGGCTGTTGTCGATGATGAGACATTTTCGCGCCTCCAATGAGCACGGTTGGAAAATGTACGGTGCGAAAGACGTTCAACGTACATTACATAAACAACATTTTAAAATCACGGACTAAATCCATACCGCCACGTGCGTGCGCGACGGGTGGCAGGAGCGACTGGAGGCGGAGGAGCGTGCGACGCAGGCGGAGAGCAAGCGGATGCGCTCGCAAGAGGAGATGCAGGAGCACTTCAAGCGGGAGCTGGAGCGCGAGAAACTGGTTTGTGCCGTTCTCTTAATTCACAGCCTCGCTCTGCCCGTGGCAGTTGTCGAACAAAGACGGTGGTCACCGCATCGCGCGTCGCTTCTGCGGCCGTCTGGAACGCTCTTCCTTCCGATATTAAGAAGCCACTGGGAGCTATACACTTTTAAATCTTCATCTAGATTGAAAATGAATTTATTTAGAACTGCTTATTGTGTTTAGTTTGTTGTCCTTCCCCCGTCCCTCCGATAAGCACGGTTGGCTACGTACTGTGCAAAAGAAGTTCAACATACATCATAGAGTTACCAGCGCCGTGCTAGAAGAGACAGCGGACATGTATTGATGCGTCGATTTGTTTGGTTGAATGAATTTTTACGCTTGCAATGCGTGCGGCAGAGCTGTGCTTGTGAGAATTCATTCTTTTCGATTTTTTTTACAAATTATATGCAAGTGATGTGCAACTGTTGCATTTAGGCTAATGAATGGTAAATAAAACAGTATATGGTAGAAACCAGACAAGTAAGAAACAATGCAAATGAGATGATAAATATAAAACAACAAAAGTAGATTCCTAAATTTAACCATGACCCCAAATCATGACCCCCTAGGATCACAAATCGTTGCGAGGGTGATTTGTTATATGCCGAGTAATGATACAGCAATTCTTGGCTTACGATACAGAATCAGTTATTTGCATTAGTTGTATGCGATTGGTTCACATGTTCCCTGCAGCTAAGCCGGATTTGGCCTGGATAATGTTTTGCATCGGCAACCACCATGTACAAAACAGGAGTCGCATAGGCTGCTGTGGGACTGCGTTGTCAGCAGAGGACGGTACGGTGAAATGATTTGTTATACTGTACCATGATCTAACGTCGATGCACCCCACCGTCGCCACCCTGTACTGATGTGGTGAAATATGGTCAAATATCCCCCACGAGCTACACGGCATGGGGAGGCCTCATGGGTGGTGGATTGACAAACAGGCTGTACATGTTCATGCATATGTCCATGTACATATATTAAATTTCCACGAGTTGATGTGTGTTTAAGTAATAGTGAAAATGAATGGACTTTGGTGAGAAATTCAAGTGTGCATCTCAGCTGCTGTTCTCAATGACTTGGCCATAGCTATGGGGAGAAAAGAAACAACTCCCCATTGTGCACGGAGCGGTACGGAGCCACAACAATCCCCTTCTTTCCTACGGTGGGGTGACGAGTGACGAAATCAACGCTGGCCCTCCCGTCCCTTCCCCCCCACCCCCATCTCTCGCACGAACAGGCGCGCGTCGACATGGAGGAGCAGATCGCGCAGAAGACGGCCGAATCGCATTACTACCAGAGGCGCATCCGCGAGCTGGAGGAGATGTACGACCAGCTGTGCGCCGCGCTGGAGGTGGAGAAACGTGCCAAGCTGGAGCAGGAACAGGCGCGATTGCACCAGGCCAGGTCCGGCGGATGGCGATCGCGTAACCGGCAGCGTGGCGATCATCGCGTTGCCCGCACGCGCGGGTCGTCGTATTGCCGACCAGAGCAGCTTTTGAAATAGACGCATGAACACCTGCACACAGGCTGCTCGAGGAGGAGGGGTTGAAGCGGCGGGAGCTGGAGCAGCTGAGGCAGGAGCAGACGCAGCTCATCGTGGAGGCGCGTGAGGAGCGGCGGGTGCTCGAGCAGGAGCGCAACGACACGGAGCTGGCGCTACGCTCGGTGGTCGTGCATCTGGAGCAGCTGGAGCAAGACCGACGCGAAGCCGTGGAGAAGTACGAGGTGCGTGCCGTCGCTCGCACCGATCCCCCGCGCCCTCCCAAGGCGATTTAGCTGCCAGTCGCCGCTTTTGTCTGACTTCAGACGCCGCTGTTGTCTCCTGGCCGAGTCGCACCCTGGAAACGAGCACTGCGTAGCTCAATGGGCTCTGCTCGGGAAATAGGCTTCTGACTGAATCCGAAGTGGATTTTAGCCACCTTGAAGCGATTCGTAAAAGCGGTTTATGAAACGGACCACCTTGGAAGTGGGCCGGGTGGCTCAATGGGCGGGCGGTGCTTTGAGGGGGCACTGCTCCGGGAATTTAATCTGGGTTTCAGCCACCTGTCTCAGCCAGGTTACCAATGTCCAGTGGTTCTTAATCTGGGGTGCACGCACCCCCTAGGCGTGCAAGATGCTCTTTCTGGAGGTGCGAGACATGGCCACATTTTTTAGGAGGTAAATCATCGAAACACAAATTAAGTACGGGCACGTAAGTACAACTACTTTGTTGAATCAAACCATATGTATTTATTAACATTATACATTTTTTTATGATTGAGAGCCAAAGGGGAGTAAGACTGCATGAAAGGTTAAGGAAAGAACCACTGACAATGACTATATAAAAAAAAACATATTTGGGTTTTCACGAAATTTGGCAAATATACAAGCTCTGAGAATGAAAGTCTTATACTTTGCACATGGTACAAAGTATAGCACTATTAAGAGTGGATAAGAGATCATTTCACAGAATCTGAGACGTAGTTCTAGAGTGTATCCTTCTGCAGACCATTCTCTAATATGGAATTATCCACTGTTCTCTGAGTTCCGAATTTACATTTCTTCATCGAATGGCATGACACCTTTAGCATAATTGCAGAAAAGATGTACATAACCACAGGTTTTTTTTGTACCAATTGTAGGTGTGCTGCTGTGTTTGGTGTGTCCTTACAGGAATGTAATCGATCAATCTTCGTTTATACAGAGCGCTTCACATTCGTAGGGAAATCTCTTAGCGCTTGACATGCAATAGAATGTACATTCATTCTCCACACTTAGACGATACAAGAGACAAGATCTTTAAGTTAAAAATAGCAAAATGTACTCTTGGTAATATAAGTTTTAAATAGCAAAATGTACTCTTAGCAATCTTATTTTTACTTTTCAAGCTTATATTATACTGAAGGGAATTTACTCAAATCAAGGAATGAACACAGTTACAGCAGATACCCAGCCGACATCATTTGCACAGCAATTACAGATGCACTGATGAGGGTTTTCTTTATACCTTTATTAGGAACCCATTAGTATCAACAACGCCATTTAGGTTGCTTTATTTATCAAGCCAGAGTGTAGCATTGAAGCTATTTTGGTGTGTCCTCATCTGAAAGCAAATATTGCCATTAACCATGGCGTTCGTTGGTGGGGTGTGGGGGTTGTGGTTTTTCAGCTGGCCTCCACGCGGCTGGAGAATGCTCGCGGCAATGCCAAGAGCTGGCGGGAGCGCGTGATGGAGCAGGAGCGCCAGATCGGGCTTCTTCGCCCCATCCAGCCGGGTGAGTGGCCGTGGGGTCCCACCAGTTGCGATTACAAGCTTTCGTGACTGCAGGGATTCATCTTCTTGGTTCTTTCGGTAAAGTCACGTAGAAGGAAAATAATAAAATAATACAAATAAAACATAATAAAATAATTCTCACGACGTTTCGGCCACAACGCAAGCAGCCGTCCTCAGGTGGAGAACAGGTCTGTCGAGACTCTGTCTTCTCGACTCTCTGTCTTCTCGACAGACCTGTTCTCCACCTGAAGACGGCTGCTTGCGTTGTGGCCGAAACGTCGTGAGAATTATTTTATTGTGTTTTATTTTTTATTATTTTATTATTTTCCTTCTACGTGACTTTACCGAAAGAGCCAAGAAGATGAATCCCACCAGTTTATTCATCATCATCATCATCGTCGTCGTCAGCCACGGTCAATCCACTGCTGGATGATGGCCTCGCCAATCTGCCGAGGCCACCCCATCGTGGTCGTACGTTGATTTCATCGCTCCGTCTCCCCGGCGGACGTACTCTTCCTCTCTCTCGCATGGTGGTGATCTATTTATAGATGCTCCGCTGATATCCAATGACCCTCTCGGTGTTTTCCCACTCAAAAGGCGGGTTGCACTTAAGAAGCCTTTAAGAGGGTTAACATTTTAATGAGAGTGTGAGATTGGTGAAGAGGATTTGAATTTTTTTTTCCCTATGGTGTATCTTTATGGGTTTAGCTGAGGTATCTATTAAAAATGGATTGCCCTGTATAGTTCGGTATAATTTGTATAAAAGAGCTGCACTGCTGTGAATGTGAAATAAAATGAAAAATTTGTGGCCACTAAAGCATCACATTCTATTATATCTTCCCTGTCAAGACCCGTAAATGTTTTATCTTTTTACATTACGTACCGGATTCATATTTATTACAAAAAGTTGAATGTAAAGACCTATCTCTGCAGCGAGCTATCTGTAGGGATGTTTGAGCATTGCCCTCTCGTATACATGTTTAGTTTGTTGTCCTTCCACCACACCTCCGATTAGAATGGTTGGCTATGTACGGTGCGAAAGAAATTCAACATTCATTCATACATTCAAATATGAACAAAAATAGGAGCCAAAAGAAAGGAGGCTTGAGACTCAGTGAGGCTCTCATGAGTTAATACAGTAAAACGTCGCATATCTGACCCGCTGGGGATATGCAACAAAGGTCGGATACGTGAACATCTAAATAAAAAAAAGGATACTTGCACTTTACACAAACAACTACACTTATTGTTAACTTATGGACTTTGGCAAACAATTGCTAACATGCCGCGAATTTCTCTGTCCTCCTGCAGGGCACAAGGATGTGGCGATGAGCTCGCACCGGGGCCTGGGCGCATTCCCACCGCAGAAGACTCCCAGGGAGACGCCAAGGAAGAAGGCGGCGGATCAGCAGGTTGCCGATGGCATGTCGGCGCTGCACGTGGGATCCGGCGAAGCGCCGTGACGTCGCGTGGCCACGTTCCCCCATTCCCGATGACCACGTGCGTGACCGTGCCGGCGGCGGCGGGGGGGTTTGGGCTCTCCGATGTGGTGTCTCTGGTTGGTTTTGGCACGTCGTATTCTTAGGTTTTTTCGGTAAAGTCACGTAGGTAAAACAAATTTAAATTAATAAAAGTCAAATAAAATAAAAATAAAAAATCACGACGTTTTGGAGGCATTTTTATTTTATTTTACTTTTATTAATTAAATTTTTTTTACCTACGTGACTTTACCGAAAAAACCTAAGAATATGAATCCTTGCAGTCACAAAAGCTTCAAATCTAGAATTTGGCACGTCGTGTTCGGCACGGTGTTACGACATTTCGCTCAACGTGCTGGAAGCTTCTTCGGGGAATTAAGTTCCGGAAAGAAGCTTGTCGGCAAATAAACAGAAACCTCGGACATCGTGCGGAGCAACACGCTAGATCGCTATTTTCCAGCGCAACCGCAAAAACGTGCACGGAGTGGGTATAGGCTCGTCTCGAGCTCCTGGCCTCTTGTGTGGTTCAAGACGTTCATTCTTTAGACATGTAGGTTTGCAACTCTTCACCGATTAATATCGATTACAGTATCCCCTCGTTATTCACGAGGGATACTTTCCGGAGATGCTCGTGAATATATTTGCGGATGATATTGGCCGGCGAAAACACATCTTAACTTTATCTTATCACTTTCTCGCATTGCATTCTCTCTCATCACTTTATCGCTCATCACTGAATCCTCTCATCACTTTCTTTATCTCTCTCGATGCAGTCGTGTAGAGTTTCAATGTGTAGATAGCCAAAATCGAGGATAGCAAATTAATGAATAACGAGAGAATACTGTATTAAGCTCAACACAAGCATTGACTCGTGTGTGAAAACCATCTATCTAGCATTTATGACGTGCAAGTGATGTGTACCATTGTTAAAGTTAGACTAATGGGGCAAACAAAACAGTACAAACGAGAACAATCTATTCTTGAATTGAATTGTGAAACGGAATCCTGACAATTCATCAAGTTGCTGGAGGTTTGGGGGAAGGGGGAGGGAGAGGTGGGGGGGGGTGAATAATTACATACCTAGTCAACATCAGGTTCGGCTTCAGTTATTTATGTTCATGGATGCTGTTGAGTTGACTGCCGAGAAACGTTGGTACTTTTCTTTTGATAGATATCTCTGAACCGTGCTTAACATTTCATGCGGTCTGCACACATTTCATTACTTGTAGTCCAACTGTAATTCCCCAGGGTCTCGTTACATTTGTACTTCACGTGAAATTATTACTGTTGTGAGCATTAGAATTTGTGATCGCTTTTCGTGGTACGTGTAGGATTTAATTTAGTTACTCCAATTTTTTTTAAACGTATAAAACAAGCCACCACGTTCGTCTGGATGTTATATAGAGGTGTCGTTTAATAAATATTTCAACATAGTTTTTAATGTTTTGTTTTTGTCCCTATGTACTCCAATGATGTATATGTACATTAAAGTATTTCTTTTTTTAGTTTTAAAAGCATGTGTCTTCTTGTGTGATGTCTTAATAGTGGGGAGCGGTCATTGTGCGGTTATTAGCGCACTACACTACACATCCAGCGACACGAGTTCGATTGCAGCTCACAGCCCAACATTGGCGATACACATTTAAACCAGTCCAAGCCCCCCCCCCCCAGTCAATGTGTACTTGGTGCAGTGTGTATAAAACATCAGCACTGGGAAGACAAAGACGGCCGCGCGTCATGCCGATCACCCACCTCCCTCGTGTGCCGTGCCGGCCTTCATAGGTTGCTACTCGCTAACAGCACTTGCCCCAACAGTCTCTTAAGACTATGGGGGGAGTTGGTATTGTCTTAAGAGCTGCTCAATATCACTTGCCCCCAAAACTCCCTCTTGCTATCGACAAAACCTGTGTGGTGTGAGGGTGCCAAGAAGTGGAGTTTGACATTTCCCTGCAAGACGTGGGGGTGGTGGTGTTACCCAGGTGCGCCATCTCCTGCACACATTCCGCGGTGGATGTAAACGAAACAAAAACACAATTCGCAAAAGTGCTGTCGGCCCCATTGTGCGCTGCTGGCCGGGTCCAAATTCCAAGTGACGCAAGTAGGTCTCGTGTACAGCGTTGGGGACCGCCGCTTTGTGCGTGCGAGCGTCTCTTACTCTGGGGAGCGGCTTTGTGGCAACCTCATTGTGTAACATGCGCCACGGATATATACACACACAAAGAGCCCCCTTAACAGACTTTTGGGGCAAGATGCTGTTAGGGGTGGCAAACACCACCCACGCCCAACCGCTTTTGTCTCCCCAGTGGCGATGTTTACACCGCGTACTCATTTCAGGCTGAGTCGACCTAGGGTAGGTCCAGGACCGATTCTGATGATCGTCACCCGGTGTTGGCCGTGAGTGGGAATCGAACCAAGGTGGCCAGGTTCGTAGCGCAGTTCTCTAACCGCTACGCTACCGCTCCCCACCACTATATACGCACACAGATGCCCAATATATTCTTGGTTCTTTCGGTAAAGTCACGTAGAAGGGAAATAATAAAATAATAAAAATACAACCAAAATTCTCACGAGGTTTCGATTATTATGTTTTATTTTTATTACTTTATTATTTCCCTTCTACGTGACTTTACCGAAAGAACCAAGAATATGAATCCCTGCAGTCACGAAAGCTTTAAATCGAAAGATGCTCACTAAATAGCCTTAACAGACTGTAGGGGCAAGTGCTGTTAGCGAGCACCTATTAAGGCCGGAACGGTACACAAGGGTGCTGGGTGGCCAGCAGCACGCCCGACTATATATACACACCACACACAAACAAGTTGCGTGCCGTTTCGATTCCAACTTTTATCTCGTGGCCTGTATGAAATGTCAGGTTCATTGACGGCAATTGCGTGATTTTCCTCCTGTTGCCCCGTCTTCTGAACTCTGAAGTCAAGGGTGAAGTTAACACGTCCGCTGCTCACACTCGAGCAGTAATAAGACATCAGCATTGCGAGGGCCGCCACACATTTCGAACCATCGTGGAAAATTCGCCACACAAAGACAAACACACAAACAGGTGACGTGCTGACAGCAGCACGGATGATGATGGCGAGGTGGTTTTCACTCGGTGGGTATTGTGAGTGGGGCCGCCAGCCTAAGAAGAACCACCGAACGAGAGGCAAATTCACGACAGTCAAATATAGAACCCACGGTTGTTGGTTATTATTTCCGTGTTCGGTGTAATGTTTAACGCTGCCCTGTGCCCCCCCCCCCCCCATCTGTCTACACAATGTCACACCGGAGGTTCTGGTTAGATGTCCTTCCGTCCTACCTCTGAAAGAAACGACACCGTGGACTCGCGAACCGATCGCACGACACTTCAGCTGTCAACAAGACAGAGATTTGGCCGTCGAGCATCAACAGACTTGTTGGTGGCATGTCCAGCAACACGCATGTGTGGTTAATGCAGACACGATTCCTTGCAAAAGGTTTCAGTTTGGTGTTTTAACGTCTTAACACAGCTGTTTTATTGCCAGAAAGGGTAAAACCAATTCTTATTTTTCGATTTAAAGCTTTCGTGACTGCAGGGATTCATCTTCTTGGTTCTTTCGGTAAAGTCACGTAGAATGGAAATAATAAAACAGGTCTGTCGGGGAGACAGCGCATTCAGACGCTGTCTCCCCGACAGACCTGTTCTTCACCTGAGGACGGCTGCTTGCGTTGTGGCAGAAACGTCGTGAGAATTATCTTATTATGTTTTATTTTATTGTTTTATTATTTCCATTCTACGTGACTTTACCGAAATAACCAAGAAGACCAATTCTTATGTATTGATATAGACTGGCAAGGGAGGTCCCATGATGTAGCTCGTTCAGCATTGTTCCACAAGCACCACCACCATCGATTAGCACGCCTTGTTACCGTTCAGCCAGAGGCGATGCCACAATGGGGCTTTTTTGGGGGGGTTAGATCGCATAAATATACAAATGTGTCGTTGACCTGCCACCACCCGACAAAGCCAATTAGTTAAATTTGTCACGTAAACAAAAAGTGCCAGTTTAACACGTAGGCTTTCATGACCAATATCATTCATAATACAGGTTTTTGGGTTAGATCGTGTTATTTATGTGTCGCAACTCTTCACCACCTGACACGGCCAATCAGTAAACAAAATGTGTCGCGTTGCCAATTAGTGCCAATTAGTTACTACTTCAGCACACCGGTGTGTTGGGAGAGTAAACTCACAATATTGACAATTCGAGTACGACGTTTCGCTGGTGATGACAACGAGCCTCATCAGGCGATTTGCTGGAATTGTGAAGAAGCCTTCATGTTTTCGGTCTGCGTGTTACACGTGCAAAACGTAATGGTTGCGTGTGAGCTGGGGTCAAGTGTGGGTACTCACACCTCTTCCAAGACGTATATCCAGCATGGAAGAGTAGACCAATGACCATATCAAGACAGAGAAGCTCCTTGTGCCAGGAGTGACGTACGCAAGCAGTTGTCTTTTACGCTTCGCCCTCAAGGCAGCTACACTACTATACACATGCAAACAGCATTGCTCAAGCAAAATGAGATGTCAACTACCTCGCCTGGTCTACAGGAGGTAGTGGGTTCGATCCCTGACCCTGACACCTGCTGTAGATTTGGAGTTTGCGTGTTTCTCTCCCCTCGGCCGCGTGGATTGTTCTCAGAGTCCCCCGGTTTTGCCATCCACATTTAAAATCCACACGCGTTTTGAGGATGTGGCTGCTATACATTTGCACTTGATACGCTCAATTCATTGGGCTATCATTTGTGGCCAGGTCGCTTCTGACAAATAATGACATAGCCCAGTGGGCTTTACCTGCTAAAAAGTTTAGCTTAAATAGTTCAGACACTTGCAAATCAAATGCATCTGCTTCGAGTCCTACCCTGTAAGCTACAGCGCCTCCACGTGGCAAGATCATGATTTGTTGTCTGCTTACTTTCAATTCTTGAATTTCGCAGCAAAATGTTCAAGAGTTCAATGCCACTGTCGAGGTCTGTTCGCCACGAGAGGGCTTTGGTAACCAGCTCGTGCAGTTTCGCTCCTCCATCATACCGCACGACGATCAGTTGTGCAACACTGCCGCGTTACACGGATATATTTTATTGGGCGTGTGGAGCAATTTTCAGGAATACGCGTAGGTTAAATTGTATGTATATCGTGTACTTTTTAATCCATATTGTGCAGCGGGGTGTTTGTTGAGCCTAGCATACACCGCTGCTTAAGTGTGCTTAAACTACATATATTTTTGCACGGGTATTCGATTTGTAACAAATCACGCAGTGACATATAAAGTGGTTATTAAATTAGATTTACTGCATGCCCGCTCTATCGCTTGCAATGAGTGTGAATCATGGAATTGTAGATCCGTACTTACATCAGTGGCGAGTGTTATCTTAACAGTGGATTGACGAGCGGCTGTAAATTATCATTATTATTAGCTCATGCTCTGCTAAATTAGTTTATGCAAGGGGTCTGATGTCCCAGAAGATCCGGATTCTCCTCTGGTGCCTCGAAGCCTGCCTGGAGCTTCACTATAATTCCAGTATTGTTTAGCATAAAGTCTAAATAATCTCTGTCCAGTTGGATAGAACACCTTAATTCCCTGAGCCGCTATTTAAATCCGTGTCAAGGGAAATCTTACTTCAGATGTTTTATGCAATTGTGGCTCAAACATGGAGTGTTCTATTTTGCAAAATAACATTTCGCAATTCAGAAACAATGAAGATGTCTGCCTGCTGATGAGACCCAGAAGGTGAAAACCGGTCCAGAGAGTTGCTTGCTTTAAAAAAAAATTCCTGTTGGTAATATTGACGGACTCAAAACACAATTGTAATTGTACACGCTTTATATTTGAACAATTATGAAGGTTGCACATAGGCTTGATAGAAAAAAAATATTCTAGACAGCTCTTTTGAAATGGAACACGTCCGATGATGGAAATGTATCCAACAGTTTGGAAAAAAAACCCCGGAGTAACTGATAACCATGAACGAGAGTCAAACGTAGCGACGGTAATACGTACAATCTACTTATTCATCTTCTTGGTTCTTTCGGTAGTCACGTAGAAGGGAAATAATAAAATAATAAAAATAAAACATAATAAAATACAATTCTCACGACGTTTCGGCCACAACGCAAGCAGCCGTCCTCAGGTGAAGAACAGGTCTGTCAGAAAGAGAGCGCTGTCTTTGAGAATTGTATCTTATTATGTTTTATTATAATTATTTTATTATTTCCCTTCTACGTGACTTTACCGAAAGAACCAAGAAGATGAATCCCTGCAGTCACGAAAGCTTTAAATCGAAAAATCTACTTATTCTTTTGCAAAAATAAATTCAGCCACTCCTGCACCGTAAATGATGTGCAAGTTAAAAAAATTTGCAGAAAGTGACACAATCCTTATCAGTCGCATATAGTATTATACAATAAATACAGTTTATGCACAATTCCAGTGTACACAGGTAGTCCGTGAAAAATACAATCTTTTTCCACCCCTTCCCAAATTTAAAACAATGATCATTTTAGAGTTTAAAAAGTCTTTTCTCTCTCTCCAAAACGGACCACAGGTTAACTATAATGTAAACAAAATGCAATTTTTACATTTTATTTCCAACATTTTATAAAAGTATTTAAAAATAAACTCTTCAATTTACACCAGTGTTACCCGCGTTTCACACGTGACATTCACGTGTCCAGATAAAAATGAAAAACACGGGTTAAGTTCGGAGTCTTTTTTCTTAAAAAGCCAAGTCCAATAATCCCAAGTTAGTCAGGGACAACAGGCTTCATCACCGATGGGATATTTAACACTTTCTTGATGACGTCATAGCCCCCCCCCCCTTCTCCGCGTTTGTCGTTCCAAGCGAATGAGTCACCGCGAATTTGAATTTTTATAAAACCCCCACCATTGTTATCCGCAGCAGAGCTAAACGAACTGATACCTGAAGCAGCAGAAATCCCTCAGCACAATGTCACTTTCAAACAGGCCACAAGGCAGCCACAACTTCTGCAAGGCACATACACACAGGAGGGTTGCCACCTGTCCTGGTTTTCCTGTCCTGGTTTTCCCAGGACATCCTCTTACTAAAGTAGTCGTCTTGGGAAATCGGGCAAAGTCTTCCCCGGGACATTCAAAAGTCCCGGCTTTTGTCAGCCGTGTAATAATGCACCACTCAAGACATTTATGTAATATAGTTCTCCCCGCCTTTCGGTATTGAGATAAACCACCCCCTTCCTATGGTATGTACCAGCTTTCTTTTTGTACCTCTAAAAAGGTGGCAACTCTTGCCGCAAACGTTGCTTTAACAAAACAACAAAAAGCCACCTCTACCGCGGGCAAACTGGACGTCGCCGCTCTATATCAGCAGGGATTCAACTGAGCCCGCGGACTTGACGACCATCGGCTCTGCCGGGTTACGGGCAGGCGCGGCCTTCCTTTGTGCCGGGCCGCGTCGCCCGTGCTCGTTCGCCCAAGGCCCCGGCGGTGGCCTCTGCGGGCTCGGCGGAGGCTGGTAGAACCCCGCGCCGCCACCGCCGCCACCCCATGCCCGCTGATCGACGCCGGGAGACCGCGGCGCGTCAGTGAGACGCGGACGCTGGCCCTGGGCACCGTGAGCGACGAGCGGCGGCTGCGGCTGCGGCTGTGGCTGGTGGAACATGGGCGGTCCCCCGGTCGGGGAGCGCGCCGCCATGTGCCGTGAGTACCGGAGAGACGGGGGTTGACGATTGTCCGCGAGTGCGCCCGCCGGTGCCAGCGGAAATTCCCGTGGCGATCGTGACGCCGCCGCCGCTGCCATGTACGAGGAGATGTTGTCCTGCTTGGACTGCCGAGTTCCCCCCACGGCTACGGCGGCGGTCGAATCCGAAGGCGGTGGCGGCGCCAGATCCCGCGGTATCGCATCCTTGGTGTGGTAACCCGGCGGTGTTTGGTAGATCGGCAGCTGCCGCCCTTGGGGCCGCAGGTTGGATGTGGAGCCCGCAGGGGTTATGACGTCGGCGTGGTTGTAGGGTATCTGATTGGCTGCGCCTCGCGCGTCCTTGTATGCCGGCGGATGTCTGACGGATGTCTGTGGATTGTGGTATTGGTGGTATTGGTGATGTTGGTGTGGATAGGAAGGAGGCGGTCTGCTGGTTCGCTGGTTACCTGCCAGGGTGCTGTCTGGGTATTCAGCGTAAGCTGTTTGCCCATACATTCCAGTTGACCTGGGGCTCGAAGGACCATTTGAAATCACCTGTGGCCTTTTCATGGGGCCCTCCTGATGAACGGCTAAACTACTATTTGAATTCCACTGAGCTCCTGGGAGAGTTAAGTCGCCCGAGGCTAACCGTGGACTCGTTGGCATGTTCTCACTGCCTGCGAAGGGTGCTAAGGATGCTTTCTCATACGGCGGTGGCTGCCTCCTGCTAGAACTCCCTGGGAAGAGGTCATCCCCATTCTGCATCCACGTGTTACGCGGAGCATGATGATTTTCAGGACCGACAGCCACGGGCTGGGCCTCTCTCCTGTAGTGTCCAGACAGCCGATTCTCTTTCCTGTCTCCTTCTCCCTCGTGTAGGTCATCGTTCATGGACCAATCGCTGGAGTAAATGCGCGCTCGCCGCTTGTCTATAACGGCCGCCTCGCCCTCCGTCAAATTATCGTAATAGGAGACGTTATCCTTGCGCTGCTCCTTCTGTCGGCGGATCGAGTCGACGGACACCACCGCCCTGGGGTGCAGGGGCTGCCTCGCGGTGGATGCGCCGCCACCGGCCGGCGGCCTCCCGTTCACGACCGCGCCGTTCTCCGCCCCGGAGCGTGCCCCGGGAGCTCGCGCGCCGCCGCTTCCGGCCAAGGGCTTCTTCCAGCTGGGGGCCACGAAGTCGGCGTTTTTGGCGTCTTGTTCTCCTCCTCCTCCTCCTCCTGCTGGTCCTGGCCCCTTATCCTGCGCGCCGTTCTCCCTCTGTGTGGCGGCAGGTTTCCGGCGCCGGAAGGATCGCTTGACGAAGCTCTCCACCGGCTTTTTGGCGGCGGGCTCCGGCGCACGTTCGTCGCTGCCGTCGCGGTTCGTTCGCGACGCCGCTGTGTGCTCCCTGGGCGGCCCGTCGCCCGCCGACGACTTGTTCGCGGTCGCTTCCTCCGAGGCCTCCTCCTGGCGCTGACCAGGCGGTTTGTTTGGCTTTCCACGCGCGGATTTCTGTTTGCTCAACCTCTTCTCCAAAGGCTCCTCTTTTTGTGCAGAGGAATTGCGGGGCTGTCGAGACGACGCCTTCACGGACTTGCTCTTTCCATTTTCTTCTCGTCTCACCGAGTCGGTCGACAGCTGCGTGCCGTCCTTCTTCCGCGACTTAATCGACCCATCTTCCTCTTACCTGCAAACGATGGTGAGGGCAAAGCAGTTGAGATGATTTGGAGGCTCTTGAATCAATTTTACGTTCGCTTTTACGGCGTACTTCACAAACAGTATTATCAGCAAAAAATGTCATGCGGACGTTATATAGTGAATGCTAATTATTTCAGAGATGGAAAATACACCTCAGGCAATGGTGTCATATACGTAAATGTTGATTTCATCATGCAGTAGATGAATCATTCCCATTCAAGAGCAGTTCCATGTTTATTACGGATGTACATTTCAAACCACCAATGTCGGTAACCATTATTTTACGAACGAATTGGTTTTTCTCACTTGGGCCACCGAGTCTGTCCACCAAATAGGACTGTGTAGAAATCACTTGTCAACCTTTTCCGAGAAGGGGAGAAATGCTAATTAAAATATTGTAGTGTCGGACGTACTCGGACAAGATTTTTTTTTTATCCACACCGTGATGATGCCGGTGCGTTCGGTTTCATCGACTTATTCCATCAACGAGCCGTTTCCAAAAACTCTCAATAATTACCTTCAAAATGATTCCCCTAATGTGTTATTTAAATTATTGTTACAGTTTGACTTGAGCTTGCCGAATTTGTGGAACTGCCCCTTCACATCAGCGCAAACCATGGAGCACAATGTCAACGAAACAAAAAAACTCAAAATCATGCACGTTACGTATAAAACATATATTTATGTTTGTGCGCGAAGTAAAACAAAAAAAACAGCTTGTGAGAAGCGTTTGGGAATACCTTGCGAGCAAAGGACTCCTGCGATTTAAACACTAGTGACCTTGGCGGCGGTCGACCCGCCGACTAGGGGAGGCGGACAAGCCGTCAAGACAGCATGCGAGAAGAGCAAAAGGGGGAGAAGAGATGCGAGGAGGAGAAAGTCAGCTCGGGCCAAACTCGCGGCAAGGTTCGGACATGGCATGTCCATGAACCCCCCCCCCCCAACCACACGGGGGGTGGCGGTATTGAGGATGGTGGCGGGGAGGGGGAGAAAGACCCACGAGCGTTAGAGGAACGGGAAAGGGAAGAGTAATTTTTGAGAAAGGTTCGTTACCACCAGCCAAAGCTGTAACGTCGGCAGAGAACACGGGGCAGGGTCAAGAGCCTGCTGACTGTTTGTGCAAACAGAAGAACGGCGCGAGTGAGGTTAATTTTAGACACCGCGAAAGCAAAGCACCAAAGTCACCAGAGTAAAGGTGGCCACGCTTGACACAAATTCGCAGCATTGAGCTGTTATCGATACGTGTGTATTAAAGAAAAAAAAATGCACCCTGTGACCTCGTAATGCTTGTCAACCGCCGACGACTGGCGATTCGTACGACTTTGCATCTTTCCGCCTCGAATGTGAGTTTGACGAAGTGTTCACAAACCACCGGGCGCTGTTATCCTGCCCCAGAGTTTTACACTGAGAAAACGCTGCAATGGCGTGAAAGCATTGTGTTGCCTTCGTGTTAGGAATGTTATCGCAGTCTATTTCATCATCGCCGTCGTCATCGTCAGCCACGGTCAATCTACTGGTAGATGAAAGCCTCACCAAACCATCGTCACGTTTCTGCGATGTAACAATCCACCCAAGCACATGAGCTGATTTCATCACTCTATCTCCACGGTGGACGTGCTTCTAATAACCCTGCCACCCTCATTCATCAAATATGCTGTTTAACTGAAACATACACAGAATGTCCATGAAGGTTACCACACACTATTAATGAATTTATAATAGACGGCGGTTTGAGCTGTGCCGTTGAATGTTTGAGTGACGTGAAAGGTGAAGTGCATGCCAAGAGCCGAAAAGCTTCGGATCTTCACACTTTCACGGTGAGTGTGTGTATAGTTTGGATAGGCCTTGCAGCAACTGCTGTAAAATTAGAATGCCTTTAATAATGTACGATAGGATACCTTCGGAAATATTTCATGTGCATCATTCAGTCGCAAGGCGGTGTGAAACGATGGCGAAGGCGGTCTACGTTGAGTCTTGTGTTTACGCACCACTGCCAATGCAGTCCAATAGGTAAACTAAACTATAAAACGAAACTATTTTAACTTTTTACTAAAACTAAACAATTGTGTATTTTACCGGGTAAGGGCCACTGAGCTATATAGCTCTTTTTCAGAAGTGTCCTGGCCACAAAAACAGCCCAACGAAGTGGCTTATCACGTGGACATTTATAGAGGCCAAATACATTGATTCTAAATGTGCAGGGAAAAACCAGAGCACCCGGAGAATAATCCACGCGACCACGGGGAGAGAAAAAGAGAGAGAGACACGTAAACTCCAAATATACAGCAGCAGGCGTCAGGGTCGAACCCACGACCTCCTGCATAGCAGCTGACGGAGTTAACATCTCTCCAGCGCGGCGCCCTAATATATGAAGTGACACGTGAACGACTCCTCGAGGGTGGATGTTGGTTTAACGTCAAGCGTGCGAGTGAGCGAGAGAGCGAGCGTGAAGGAACGGAAGGTGGTGTGATGGTGTGAGGGGTTGTAGCGGGCTGGGGGGGGGGGGGCGGCTCAGGGTCGAGAGGGGGGGGGGGTCACCTGGGGGAGGGACATCGAGCTTCATCCGGCGCAGCTCCGTCACCGACAGATGCAGCTGGTCCAGGACAAAGTCGTCTTCGTACATGAAGTCTTGCGCCAGGCTGTCCTGCAGGTATTCCATGAGGTCCTCCATGCCCATGGTCATCAGCCGCTCTGGCAAACAAAGGCACACACGCACACGGCCAGTGTGACGCATGCGGGAAACAAATGGATGGTCGGGGGGGGGGTCGCATGAGATTGAAAATGACTCGCTTGCTGCTACTTTTTTTCTCTGGTGGGGGTTGAACAGTCAATATAATTTATTTGACCAGGAGATTAATTAAACGCTATTGAGACACATGAAACATCGTTACTGCCGACAGTGACCTTGTTTTACGTGTTCACGTGGAAGGTTGGTGAGCCAGTGGACAGCTTCGGCAGATGCCACCGGAGAATGAGCGAAGCGTAAATATGTGGTCCGTGGTACGAGATTGGCGACTCCAGACGCACTGTGGGATGTTTGTAAAAGACAGCCGCATCTGCCGTGCGATGGATGGCTACTGCCTTGGACGAGGTCACACGTAGAGGTCATCGCGGGTGAATGCCACGGACCCCGTCCGCCAAAGCATATTAACTGGGAAGTCTCAAAGCCATGTCGTGCAGCAATGCTGAAAATGGAAACTCAGCTGTGATGGTCTGCGCCCCTCCGTGCAATGCCGCAGTAGCGTTGCTCTGCAATATTGCTCAAAAATGCGCTGGTCATAGATGACACATAAATATATTTTAAACACAGTGACCAAGCGCAGGCTCAAAGTCCTAAAACTTCAAGCGGCCAGCAATAAACAGAACTATCTGACTTGTAATCGTTTGTTGCAAGATTGGAAAATAGAAGGGAGGGAATTCCATAAAAAATATTTCAGAACGAAGTCTTGTTATTGAGAACAAGATGGAACCAACCCCTTCTTATTATGTCTTCCGAGCCCCTGCTGTCGTTTCAAAGCAATGTTTATTTGTTACACGGGATATCCGGTTCAGCCAGTTACCCAGCTAGTTTTGGTGCCAATGGCCCTCTCTACAGTTGGGGTAGAGAGGAGCCCAGCCAGCCAGGAAACTCGAGGAATAGATTATTTTTAATCGTAGAATCATGTATCATGAACGAAGTTGGCATTTTACTGTATTTCAATTCGCGGTTTCCAACATTGGCAGTCAGGACCGGACAAAAGACATTTCCCTTGGGCCCCTGCTACTCACTCTTGTGCAGCTTGAGCGTCGTGTAGGCCATGGCTGTCATGACGCGGTCGCCCTCCAGGATGTAAGCGTCCCAGAGCCGCAGCGCCAGCGTGAACGGCGTCTGTTTGTGGGGGAGACGGGCAGGTGCATTGCATCAAATGTTAAGGTGCAGCGCTGCGATTTCCTGCTCACGCCACTGTCGGCAGAAGGGCCTCCACTCGGCAGAGCCCTGGAGAGCCCCTGTAGGGGCCTGTTTTGGCCGACTCTCTAACGCCGTCCAGAAACCGTCGGGAAGATGGTTGGAGTACCCACGCCTTGCCTCGCGATACGCGACCCTGACGATCGATGGACAGTGGCGAACCCATTTTATACTTCTAGATTTGAAGCTTTCGTGACTGCAAGGATTCATACTCTTAGGTTTTTCGGTAAAGTCACGTAGGTAAAAAGAAATTAAAAGTTAATGAAAGTAATAATGGAAATAAAATGATAAATCACGACGTTTCGGAGGCAACACAAGTCTCCGTCATCAGGTGAGACCGTCACAGCTAAAATTACTGCATCAAGTGAGGAAAATTCCATTTTATACTTCTGGGTGGACGGAGGCGGAAGGGGGTCTAAGAAGCTTTTGCACCACTGATTCAACTGCGGCGCCGACAGCATCGAACCGCGCTTAACCATTACAACCACGGCAGCGTCGCCCTAAAAGGGTCACAATCAGGGCGCCCTACAGATAAAGCTGTGCGCATACGGGGCATTTGTATCCATTTAGGAATGAGAGCCACCGTGCGCGTCGCGTAGACATGCGATGCGAACAAAAAGAAAAGAAAGACGTAGAAGTTTTGCACGCACGGCCTGAGTTCGATTGACGAGAAAGGGTCACGGGAGGCGTGGGAGCGGCCAGGTGACCCTTGTGACCTGCGGGTCGGCGTTCTGTGACGTGCGCCCAGAGACTACGTTGTGGGGGTCGTTGTTTTGGACTCGGAATATTCGGCGTTGAAAGAACGAAGCGTTTTGGGGAAAGAAAAAAAATCTTCACGAATAAACTTCAAGCGCTTCGCAAGGTCGAGTCTTTGTACAATCGTTGCAAGTTTTTCGTAAGATAACTTAAACGGTGCAGGCAGCTGAAATATGGTCTAATTAATGCATAACCGCCATACCTTAGCGTTAAACACTGTACCGCGTTCATCTCAATCTCTTGACTTCGAGGTAATATTGCGTTTTATCTCCTGAATATGCAGTGTACTCACATGATGTTCAAATTTGAGGTTAATGTACTCAAAGACCCAAACCCGCATCTGGTTCCATGGGCCAGAGCAAAATTTGGCACCACTAGCAGTATTATATATTTCGGAAGAACAGAAAACGTACTTTGGCTGGTTAAAATGGATTATGAATAAACATATTCATTAAATTGGATTCTAAATTAACTTTTATTCACAATTATAACAACTATTCTTTTTCCATGTCGGATTTGGTAGCAGCTGTTCAAAAATATTTTGCCTGTGTCCACATCGACTGAATCTTGAGCGGTTGTCTGTTGCATTTCGTCCATGTAAGAGTTAGACCAGAAGATGGCACTGTTTGGTATGTTGTGAGCCAAAGTTGTAATCTCGTTTGTCGTCCCTGACACAACATGCCCTCTGGAACAACCTGTTGAGGCACAATGCCCCCCCCCACCACCACGCCCATCCCCACGACTGGAGGCTGTAAAGGAATTGGCCCACCCAGGCGTAATTACCCCCAAACTGCACTAGTGTTTTGGCAACTGGTGATATTCAGAGTTTGATGACGATTGGCAGGGTACCGGGAAAAACGAGCCGAACCAGACTGTACAGTAGTACATACTCTGTTCGCCCCCTCGTGTGTTTACTGCCACCGTGGTCCGTACACGATGTTGAGCTGAGAAATTTTAGCCGATCGAGTTTTGTAATTTCAAGTCAGTAATAAGATACAAGGGTCAAATGACGTGTCCCTTCGTAAGGAATGCTCCGAGACTGAATATTGATGAGTTCTGATCAGTGGCTGACAAAATCTTCTCGGCGTTTTGTTCTGCTTGGATATCAGCAATATTAAATAAGAATTAAGTAAAGTCATTTTTGACAATGCACTGTCGGACGAAAGCTATCCCCCATTCGACGTCGATCTGAGGGGTCGTTCAGCCCAAGTCCACCGTGCCTGTCAGTGCGGGTTAATGAAGCGAAGACACAGGACCAGTTCAGATGTCAGCAATAAATATGCACATGCAATGATTTAGCATTTAATGATCTACAGCCCTTCTTTTTTTAGTCCACTGCTGGATGAAGGTCTCCCCGTGTTAATCACGGGGGTTGTTTGTATTTACTTCGCGACTCCCATCGGGCGGGCGATCGGTTCCGATATCACTCGCCCCACTCGCATTAGCCGTGGCCTGGAAATCCACCTTGGGTTGCCAGGCTTAAAGCACAGCGCGCTAACTAATGCGCCGTGACTCCACCCATATTATACCGTCGATGTACTGTGTTTATAAACGAACTCTATGAACCGGTCCACGGCTACTTTTTCAGAAAGACTTCACACATTTGTTTATTTCGACAATCACCAAGGGGTCGGCGGTCTTTCCAAGCGCGCGTCGTGGGACCCTGCATGGCGTTTGTTGTCGGACAGTGCTGGCTGATGTAAGCCTTTCTCATTCCGAGATGCCTGCAAGTTGCAGGGTGGGGATCCCGTTCACCGCTGAATCTCGGAACGCGCGAGCGGTTGGCGTTTATGTTAATTAGAAATAGGCGTAGCGCCGTTGAAATTAAAGACATTGTACTCACCGCAGAGAACTGTAGCGACACGACCGCACGCTAAGATAGCCGGCGCCAAACTGTGCCATACGCCCTCCCGCACAGCCTTTTACTTCCGATTCCGTTCTGACGACGTACGTTACACAGTCGTACACGTACGTCATCGGAAAGGAATCTGAAGGTAAACCGATGACGTACACGTACGTGATCGGAACGGGAAAGGGTTAATAACCCCGCCGGCGCGCGGCACACTCATGCATTGGAGTCGAGTGTTTCCCCGCGACCCCGTTGAACCCGCCAGCACGCTCGTCCCCGAACTCCCGCCGTGGCCACACCACCGTCACTGCTACCGCCGCCACCTTATGTTCTTCGCCGCACTCACTCTGTCGAGGAAGCACTGCAGGAACCACTTGGTGCTGTAGAGAGTCGTGTACATCTCCTCCGAGTCCTGCAAGCACAGAGAGATGAAGGGAGCCTCACGACAGGAAACCTCTTACACGCGGGACCGCGGCGAGCGCGCCCCGGTTGCTGTGGCCGTCGTGACGACCCACCGCCCGCCACGCACGTTGGCAGCGCGAGTCGACGATGTACGGGGCCCTGAGGTGCGTCGAGTTTAAACTGCCGCCAAGTCCTCCTCCTCACCATGGGAACCTCATTTGCCAGTAAAAATATGATTATTCGTTTTTTACCCTTCTATCTGGCAACAAAACTGACACCTTTTTACAAGGAGTCATGTTTGCATAGACCGCAATACCTGCAGTTATGATACAAACAAAAGACATAACTCTGATAATGTGCACTGTCCTTGAAGCCTTTTGGCGTCATCTGGTCCAACCCATGTGAGACTAGGCTCTAAGGAAAGCTGTCTCGGGTGTGGACCAATCAACTTCAAGGACAGTGCACATTATCAGAGTTATGTCTTTTGTTTGTATTATGACTGCAGGTATTGCGGTCTATGCAAACATGACTCCTTGTAAAAAGGTGTCAGTTTTGTTGCCAGATAGAAGGGTGAAAAAAACAATTATCAAGTCCTCCTCCTGTTCGCGAAACCAAAGTCGCGGCGTCGCGCTGACGGGGGCGTAACGATGCGCGAGGTTAACATCGATCGTCGTGTGCAGCATGCGTCCCTTCAGGTGACGTGTGACTGAGAATGTATGATTTCGATTTAAAGCTTCTTTCGTGACTGCAGGGATTCATCTTCTTGGTTCTTTCGGTAAAGTCACGTAGAATGGAAATAATAAAATAATAAAAATAAAACATAATAAAATAATTCTCACGACGTTTCGGCCACAACGCAAGCAGCCGTCAGACGCTGTCTTTCTGACAGACCTGTTCTCCACCTGAGGACGGCTGCTTGCGTTGTGGCCGAAACGTCGTGAGAATTATTTTATTATGTTTAATTTTTATTATTTTATTATTTCCATTCTACGTGACTTTACCGAAAGAACCAAGAAGATGAGAACTGATGCTCGTCGATTTAGTTCTCTCGCGGGTCCACGTTGACCCCCTGCAGCCACTCGTGGCCGCTGTATTCACGACAACGTAAACAAATGAACGTATTCGGCCATCGACTCAGATTCGTGACAACGGAATCGCGAGAGGCGCAAATCGTTACACCCTGAGCTGACGGGAACGCACAACTTATGCAACTCTCACCACAGCCTGCGGAACCTGCTTAATCCAAGACCCTGTTGTCATCGTGAGAAATGGGCAGCGAACACGAGGATTGTGCATAATAGAGGTGTCGGGATGGTGGCCGGTTTAACGACATATTTATATTAACGCGATCTAACACAAATAAAAAAAAAACCTGTATTATGGATGATATTGTTCGCAAAAGCCTTCGTGTTAAAATTAGTATCAAGGGTCCCAAATTGCACTCCTGTGCAATTGCCAAAGGTGCACGAGGCGCTAGTTGTCCAGTGGCAGCCACAACGAGGGGAACGGACTACAGGCAAATCCAAACACGAGAAGACAAATGTGCCTCCGGTGGAACAGTGGGGTCCCCAAGTCGCTGATTCTCCGTGACCCCGACAGCTTTCAACCACCGCAAACTCTCGAGGCGGTCTGGTTGATCGGCTGGTTAGCAAGCACGTGACGACTGCAGCGAGTCAGGATTCTTCCACTCGCGACGCGATGCGTGCATTGATATGTGCGCTTGAGCAAAGATCGTTTGCAATTCATGCGAACAATATTCTCGTGTTACACTCAGGCCGATGGGATACAGAAAATAGAGCAACAATACAAACAAGAATGGCCAGCATGAGGTAGAGAGAACCCATTCTTGAATCAGATCGTTACTCCCCCCACCCACCCCACCCCGAATCGTGGCAAATGAATCATTTGGGAAGGTGAATCGCTAAATGTTTCACTTTATTTGAAGGTGGCAGGCCGCGGCACAGTGTTAACACGCGCGAGGCGACGGAGTTGCGAGCGAGCGTGGCAGGCGGCAGGCTGCCCGTGACTTACGAGGTGCTTCTTGAGCTTGGGCAGGAGCTTCTTCAGGATGCGGTCGTGGTGCTCCTGAAACCGAAGGAGCTTGGGAAACCCTGGCATGAAGAGACCTATGCAGAGAGAGAGAGACACGCAATCCACCGCTAATTGAGGGGTGTATTTCTAAATGCTTGCTTCATCTGCCCGCCGATTACCGATTCCTTACTTTGCCTACACCGTACAGTGTACCCGGGGCTTACTTTTAGCCGGGTCCGTCTGGGGTTCGGTGACTCGGAAAATATTTTCGCACCAGGCACACCACCTCAAGTTTACCTCTCGCTATGACTGTGGTCGCTTAGTTGGCCATGTGCAACCCACTCCAGACTACACAAGCGGCCCAGAAAATATTCAGTGGGACCCGAGTGCGCTGCACATACGACTCACGCACTCATTACACATAGAGTGCTTGCCACAAATGAAGCAGAATTTCGTCAAGGAGCATAAACCATCACGCAAACTCCGGTCATCATCACAGCAGCGGCTTTTTTCTTACCATCGAAAAATAGTCGGTCACCGCATCGCGCGCTTTCAGATGCGCCTCTGCGGCCGTCTGGAATGCTCTCTTCCTTCCGATATTAGGAAGCCACTGGAGCTATGTAATTTTAAATCATCTAGTTTGAAAACGAATTTCTTTAGAGCCGCTTTTTGTGTTTAGTTTGTTGTCCTTCCCCGGCACCTCCGATTACCACGGTTGGCTACGTGCGGTGCGAACTAAGTTCAACATACACACACGCAAACAACAGGGCAACAGGACTTGCTATGGCAATCGTTACACGGTGACCTTTACCCCGCCTGGAGTGCACAGCACACACCCCCACCTCCTATTTTGATGGCAGCCTGGAGGTGTAGCGAGAATGCGACGGAGCTAAACTATTGCGTTGAAACACAAACGTGCCCCGACACGCGCGTGGGAAAATGCGAGAGGTGGCTGTTGCGTACAGTTGATGTGAAAAATGTTGTCATAACTCATCAGATCTTCTGACTGTATTTCTTATTAACTACGGGGGAGGGGGGGGGAACTGCATCTCGGAGCTGTCTGGCGTACTGTCGGGTTGTTCGGCACGACGTTCGATGTTTTCGCTCCATGTCCTGGGAGCTTCAGTTCCTGAAGAAGCTCCACGGGCACGAAACGTCGGACATCATGCTGAACAACCCGTGGTGCAACCCGAAAAGATAGCGGAGTGTTATACAACAGAACTGGCAAAATGCACGCAGGAGCGTAACCGCACTTCATACTTGACACAATTATTTATTTGTTCCCAGAGCCTCTTAATTTAACTTTAATGTCTCTTGTTTTTCTCTGCAATTATATGCCAACTGTGCTATCGACATCATGATGTAATGTAATCATGAGATGAAATGTCCAAAGGGGGTTTGTAGCATGTTAATCACACACAGTTTAATTGCCCATGCCGGTAGAAGCCAATTAAATTGATACATAACAAAAAAAATAATAATTGTATTTGTGCAGTCATTTTGGCAAACCGGGCTGATGCCATACAATGTGTTAACACTCCGGAGCCTGGTACAATCACGTGCTGCTGCCTGGATTCAAACCCAGGTCCTCGATGGAGGCTGGCTCGGGGTGACCTGCCACAGTACGAGCACCCTCATCTGCCCGGCCACCTCCCCTTAATCCGAGTTCAATCAGGAACCAGCAGTGTCCGTTCAGGAATGTTGTGTTCATCATCCACTCGCTTTCAATTAAACATATTACTCCAGGTGACAGGCTTCATGGGACATGGTGGTGATCCTGAGAAGTGGAAGCTTGCAACATATCTACCAGTTAGAATCAAGGTTAACATCTTTAATTAATGAATGCAATGTTTGCATTGCATGGGCATTATGTAATGCAATATTTATGCAAAAATCACGAAAACCAAACACTAGTTTCCATGAGTAAGATGCAGTGTGATAAAAAGCATTTGTAAACTCCCAAGCTTTGTGTAAATGGTCGTTGTGTTCTGCATCGGCAGCTTGGAGCAATCTCTAGGGCGCGATGATTTATTAGCAAATTAAGATGCGACAACAAAAACAAAGTTTAGACTAGTTCAGCATCCAAACGCTATTAACCTGCCTTTAATTTCCACAACAAATGGGGCATTTATGAATAAAATTATTCTTAATCCCACGACATCGCATGCGTTTGAAGCATTTGCGTAAGAATGTATGATTATTTTTTATTCTGCGAATTACATGTGAATCACGTGGCTAATGTTACCGTGGAAACGAGGGATAACGAAACGCGTATCGATTGGAGGCAGTAAAAACCAAACAAAACGTAAGCAAAATCTTGAACTGATTCAAATTGCCTCGCCGAACCGTATAACCACTAGCGTGGCGGTGCATCGTCACATTGCCGAATGTTCCAACGCAAACGCCAAACTGTGGCGCAAGTCAAAGCCCTACTTGTCGCCCACTTCGCATTGGCCACCGAGTGCCACGCAGCAACAGCAGCAACATGCGTGTGCAAACAACCGGTGAAGGGCCCTCCTTGTGTGTGACGGGGTGCAGTGGGTGGGGAGAGAGAGGGGGGGGGGAGTGTACCCTGCATGGTGTGCCTGTTGCTGCTCATGAGACGGACAAGGGCCCAGAAGGCATCCTCCTCCCCGAGGAACATCAGCAGCAGCGCGCCGACTTGGCTCATGCCCTGGCAGTAGCCCACGTCCTGCCGGGGGAAGGGTGAGAGATGGAGGGGACAGGCGAGTTGTCATTTGCTGTCAAACTTTTTTTTATTTTGACAGGTGAGGCCCACTGAGCTGTAGAGCTCTTTTTCAGAAGCCAACTGGCTCTCGCAAATTATATCCCAACGGCCAATGCGGTGGGAAAAACTTCTCCTAGCCACCGTGGCACCCCTAGTTGACGGGCTCAACGCAACTAGCTCTCGTTCACCACTCACCCAGACAGACATCTGTGAACGGCTGGACATCTGTGACAAAGAGCTTCATAGCTCATCGTATTTCTCCAGGGTAAATACAAATTCTGATTCTGACAGAGCTCAGATCGCCGCGAGCTAAGGTGAGAAACCTTTGAGGGGAGAAAAGCGCAATGTGGTGAACGTTCCGGATGCAGAGCTTTTGACAGCTCAAGGCTGAAATGTGTAACCGGTGGCTCGTGCGGTCAGGACCACGTGGTGAGCAGCAGAGGGCAGTGCAGCAACATCCATTGTTGTACTGTACTCCGATAATATATGGCATTGTCTTTTAAACTGATTGGCCGACACAAAAGACAGCCTTCTTTATGGCCTAGTCTCCACCTGTCTTAGACCAGAGAACGCCAAAAGGCGAACACGACAAAGACAATGCACGTGTCAGAGCATTATAGCTCGGGGCGAGCAGCTATATCATGAGACCTTTTCCACCATGACCAATGCGAGCTCACGGAGAACACCAAAAACAATGGGCGTGATTGTTTGCGTAAGTAATTAAGCCGAAGCTTGTGGTGGATTTACTGAACGGGGGAAAATAATGTCCGCTGTCCACGTGGTCCCCTTCCACAACGCCGCCGCTCATTGGCTCACGAACAGGCCATGGGATTCTACCGCGACTAACTGCACTCTTCATCAATCCATTTTGTTTTATGCCGTTAACCAAACAAACACATCTGAAAGAAATTGGGACTTGAAAATGGGAAGTTAGGTCGAGGGTTAGCGCACATAATGGTGACATAACAACGTTTCACTCTAATGTACACATGAACAAATAAGAAAACGTTAGTCATTTGCACCTAAATGCTACCAAGCCAATGTGGCTGGTGGAATCTACTGAAAGTTATTGATGTGGTTACAATAAAAAAGCGTATTTATGTACTTTGTAAAGTACTGAATTCTTGCATATTGTGATTTCGACAGTAATTCATGCGGTCATAAACCTCCTTGCTGGACTGATTCAGGGGCGCCGCAGGTGGCTAGGAGATGTTAACTACCTCGTCTGGTATGCAGAAGGTCGTGGGTTCGATCTCGACCCTGGCGCCTCCTGTATATTTGGTGTTTGCGAGTTCTCCCTGTGGCCGCGTGGATTTTTCTCTGGGTCCTCCGGGTTTTCCCTCCACATATACAAATATGCGTTTAGAGTACAGCATTTGGCTGCTACAAATATCCACGTGATATCCCACTTCGTTGAGGTATAATTTGTGATAGTCGCTTCTAAAAAAAAGAGCTATATTAGCTCAGTGGGCCTTACGTGGTCAAATAAAAAACATTGCCACCACCTCATGCAGACACCATTTCACCAACCCTACCTCGGGCTCGTTAGATCTCCCCCTCTTTCAAGTGGCCTCGCTCTCACCCCCCACCCCTCCTCCCCCTTCCCATTTCTCCTTCTTCCCTGACGTTGTCTCTCACGTACGTGAAACATCTTGACATGCCCGGTCGCATGTCGATTCTGTATAAATCGAGAAAGTCCTTTGGTGTTTTTTTTGTTGTGCTCTCCCATACTCGACGTTAAAATAAGCAAAAGCAGAACGGGTAATTGTGTGCACGTGCGTTTTTTTCAGACAATTATGAGTGGCTCATGGCAGCTGAAGAGAGATTAAATCTGTTTACATGGTTCTCTTTGGTTTAGAGCCATGCAGCGATCATTAAAGGGGTACTCTTTCTCATGCTGTTTTTTTTAGCTTTACAATTTTGTGTTTCCCCCCACCCCCCCACAATTATATCCACATTATGTTAACGAGCATCGTGTCACGTGTCACGAGACGTGGACGTGTCAGCTCAGAGCTTTCGCGGCTAGCAGAGCAATAGCCTGCTGCGTCAATGCCCCCCCACTCCCCCCCGCGAGGATGATGTTTTTCTCAGAAGCCGCTTCTGAACTCACGCCACTCGGCCTCTTCGTGTCTCCAAAGAGCGTCCGTCACATGCCCGTCGAAACGTGTTCGTGTTTTTTTTTCAATTCTCAGAGCTGGGTTAAAACCAAATCCGATGGGTTTGTTGGCGACGAGGCCAATGCCGTCGGCTCACTACACTTGGGGAGACCCGCGTTGAAACCCAGGATCCTTCCCCGGGCGGCACTGACTCGGCGTTCTGACCCACGAGGCACCCGGCAACCTCTTCGTGGGTTATTGTCAACTCCTCTGCAATTCTGCACACCCCGTTGGCTCGTAGGTCGATACTTCGGGCTGCATGAACGCCGCCTCGAAGCATTGACAATCGATGTAAAATACCGCTCACCGCATCGGCTCCCGCATCGCCGTTACGGGCGACCTCAACTGATCTTTAATCGCCTTGTGAAAGAGAAGGGTGTTTATAGCTCGTATCAAAATAACTCGAGAGGAGGAGCGAGGGGGGAGTGGTGACCGGAATTCCATTGGTGGCCACGGCTAACATCAGTGGCGAGTGATAATCTGAACCAATCCTAGGTACCCCTTCCGCACCATCACCAATCTTGCAGTGGTCCAGTTTGGTGAAGTACTACGGCCAAACAACCACCATGCGCAACAACCATGTGCAGAGGCCTTCATCCAGCAGTGGCATGACAAATATCTGTAAATACTGATTCATAATTAGTTTATTTTGGGTTAGATCGTGTCGGTATTATAACTTCAGGATTTACCCCAAATGAAACTAATTACGAATTAAATTTGTCATGAGGCCCTGCATATAAAATTAGCTGCAGATTATTATCATTCTTTAAATAAATTGGAGGAGCGGTGGCTTAAGTTCAATTCATAACCACGGCGAACATCAGTGGCGAATGAAATCTCAGCCAGCGCTAGGCCAACCCTTTACCAACCGCACTGACCAGAATAATAATGCATGGTCAACAAACTCCCCCATGACCAACACATCATGGAGAGGCTTCTATCCAGCAGTGAAGGGCTACAATTTAATTATTATTATTATTCACAGAAGCAGTTTAAAGTGTCAATCGAGACTTATTTTACCTCCTTAGAGCCTGCAGCATTAACTCAGGGGCTAAATGCTGACATTTGGACTTAAACGTAAAAAAGCGAATGAAAAAATAATAGATCATATGCCTTGGTTGTGTGCGTGCCTACCTCCCTGCTCTCTATACATGCGGTGTCATAAGGTTTTATCGCTCGCTCCTCGCATGTTTATTTATAGTTCAATTTAAATTCCATTTACAGCTCTTTCTGTAAACGAAGGCCAACCCAAACCGGCCCAGTACTGCCAAACAAAGAAGAATACACACGCCCCGACTCACCGAATTGTAAACGGAGTACGCCGCCAACACGTGGAAAAGTTCTTGCTGCCTGTAAAAGGAGGAGGGGAAAAATAATAATCAAAACCGAGAATGCGCGGCCGCTGATAATTGTTTTCACGAGCCCCAATGAAGCTCAGCGCATTGGCGCACCCCCCCCCCATACCTCCCCCCACTTGGTGGGAAAAACAAAAATTGCTGTGTGTGTTGGGGGGGGGGGCGAACGAATCTCTCTCTCTCTGGGCCTTACTTGACCCCGTAGCGCTCGCGGAACATGATGTGGTTGCGGAACGTCCGGTTGACGTCGAGGTCAATTTGCCGAAGGTCGGGAGAGCGCTCCCGTGCCTGCCTTCGCATCCTCTGCGAAAGATGCGAGCGCGAGTTAATGTTCACCAAGTGACGCACGCACGCATGTATCGTTGGACTTCTTTCGCGCCGTACGTAGTCAACTGGACTAAACTCAAAAAGCAGTTCGAACGAAATGCGTCTTCAATTTAGATTCGGTCGTGCTGCTGCTGCGTTGGCAGTGGTGTGCACAGCAGAAATAACAACGAGCAACTCGACACGTTCGTCAATGATGCCACCTTGAATGGGGAAAATAAATGTTTTTAAATCCTTTATATTAAGTTCACTTGCTTGCTTGCTTGCGTGCTTGCGTGTTTGCGTGCTTGCTTACGACCGTGCAAATCTTTCGGTCGTTTTTTAACCCACTTCCCATGATCCAATCGAGCTGACATTTTCCACACAGATTCGTTGTGCGTGACAATTAATTTTCGTGAAATTTTTTTTCTAAAATTTTACACTGTTTAAGGATTTTTTTATAAATATTTAATTACCAATTGCTTAATGCTGGCAGACAATCATCTGACCCATAGGTGGCAGCCATCTCAAGCCAGAGGACGAGAGGACTCTAGCCGCCACACATATAAAGGATTTAGAGTGAAAAACTTTGTTTTTACGGGTTAATTTTTATGTATGCCTCTCCCTGCATGTGCCATGTCCTTATTGAACAACATCGGCGGTCATGGCCTTCCATTTCGCCCTGTCCCTATTTGCCGAAGAAGTCTGCATTTCATACTCCTCTGAGTAACATCCAAATTGTTCAAATTGCTTCTGAACTCAATGTGGTGTCTTCCTCGCCTTCTTGTGCCTACAATTATCCCAGTCAAAACTTGATATTCAGTCTTTTGCTTTTGCATTACATATCCAATAAATCCTGCCTTTTAATATACACATTTTGGCTATCCGCGAATCGCATCTGGAACTCTACGAGGGAGAGAAAGAAATCGATGAGATAAAGTAATGAGATAAAAGATTGGTTTTCGTAGGCCAATATTATTACACGAGAAATTTGCTACGCATATATATTTCCATTTTAAGGAGATGTTATTGAAGAATGTGCTGAGTTTTCAGTTGAATTTATATCAGCATTGTCTCTCGGAAAAAGGTAATAAAGAGAGCTGCAAATCTGAGCTCAAAATAAATATACGAGCAAAGCCAAACTCGGGCGGACGGAAACCGGGCCAAACAAATGGAGATTTGTCTGTAGGAGGGCACACAACTGGCAAAACACTTCAGAGTATGTGTACCTACGAGCAGTCGTTGAAGGTGGACAGGGATCAAAACTTAATGAAATAACAGAGAGGACTAGAGCAAGCGGCAGTGCCTTTTGGAGAAGTGAACTTGAGAATCAAAAGCAAAATAACTAAGGTGCCAAAGAGAATAAACTTTCCCAGCTATGACGTGTGGATCTGACACACACCGATGCGTAGAGAGGTGCATGCTTGGAATTGCACGAAGAAACAGAAGGAGGAACACACGGGTCGGAGGACATATGCAAGTCAGAGACGTCGTACTGTTGACCGTTGAACAAATAATGTCGGCGTTGACGATTCACATCACTCAAGAGGATGATGGCCGATGGTTGACACGAACAATGTTGTGGCATCTTCTTGGTTCTTTCGGTAAAGTCACGTAGAAGGGAAATAATAAAATAATAAAAATAAAACATTATAAAATAATTCTCACGACGTTTCGGCCACAACACCTGAGGACAGCTGCTTGCGTTGTGGCCGAAACGTCGTGAGAATTATTTTATTATTATCAACATAAAAGAACATAAAAAAAAATTCTAAATGGGATAACATTTCGCAGGCGGGCGCAATTTTGCAGCTTCATTAATGAGAAAGGGAAAAAAAGGGTGCAAGCGATTTTCGCGAAGCACCGCTTTAGTTCCACGGCGGTAGAGACGTCGCTCTGCTATCATCCCCGCACATATGAACACAAACCGTCACCAGGCACGGTGCGCACGGGAAGGCGGCAATGTTTAAACCGATGGACGTTGGCAGGTGTGCAAAGTAATCACGACGAGGTTTCAGACAGGTGTCCTCGTGGCTCAGGGGTCGTAGAATTTGAGCAGACACCGCCGAGGCCCTGGATGTGAATGTGGGTAATACCCACGCGTCATTAAACCGGGTTCTCAAATGTAGTGAAGTTGATTGGACTCAACTATCTCGCCCGGTACATAGGGGGTCGTGAGTTCGATCCCGACCCTGACGCCTGCTGTATATTTGGAGTTTGCGTGGATTTTTTTCCGGGTACTCCGGTTTTTCCCACCACATTTAGAAACGCGTGTTCTGAGTATTTGGCTGCTATAAATTTCCACGCGATAAGCCACTTGGGTGAGCTTTCATTCGTGGCCAGGTCGCATCTAAAAAAAAAAACTTTATTGCTCAAGTAGGCCTTACCTAGTTGAATAAAAAAAAAGAATTCGTTTAAATAGTAAATAGTTTTATCTGTAGTTGAGCCAAGTGGAAGGTCTGAGTATTACAAAATATTTGGTTGACCGTTGTCAACGAAACGACATCTCTCATTGTGGGGCGCGTGTGGGAAAGTACGCCCCATAGCGTGTGGATCAAGAGTCGCTCCAAGAGATCTTGGGGAAAACGTTGCTTTGAAAAATCTGCTTCCACGTGCCGCTCTCTGGCAAGCAGGGTTGCTCTCCTACGAGGGTAGGGGGTATTCCGAATGCACATTTTGTGTTATAACATGATGAAAGTGTGAAGATTTTTATTTGTAAACTTAAACATCGACGCTGCCGTATGAAAATCTTGTTTTGGTTCAGCAAAGGTGTGAATCTCCAACTGCTTGCAAACGCGAGTAAGAGGGAGTTCTCTCGAGACAGCCCCTCTAGAGAGTATTTTGCCTACTCTTCCACGCTGGCCTCATCATCTTGGACGAGTTTGGAGTACCCACTCTTTACCCCACCGCACACGACCTACCGATCGGCGAACGGGAGCGCACCCATTTGTACCGCAGGGCGGGCAGCGGCAGGGAGGATTTAAGGAACGTTCCTCATTGCTTCGACTGCTGTAGCGGTAGATCCAACCGGTGTGAACTCTGGATGGCAAGTCGAGTGTTCATGCAAAGTATCCCACCACCGCAAGGACGTACCGTAATCATAAAGAAAACATATAGTTGTGAATCAAATTGTGACTAAAATTCTTGACAGTTTATCAAATCACAGGGATGCATCCATCCCCTGGTGTTCAGTGAGCTTAAAATACCGATCTGGATGTGGGCCTTTGAAGATGGAACATTTTGTTCCTTCGCTCGCTCTGTTGATGATGGAAAAAAAGCAAACGCTGACCTCCGGAATACTAGTCTAGCGTGTTGACAATCACACCAGGGCAACATCCCTTTGTTTTGCCAATCAAAACTTAGAACGCGACACAAATTCACCGTGGCGGCGTGGCAGCTTCTCGGCCGGACACGCCCTGCGCCACCACCGCCGCCACCGCCGCCACCGCCGCCACAGAAAGAAAATGTATGAACGGCACGGGGTTTGTGGCCGGCGCTGGGAGGAGCAGCGAACCTCGTAGACGCCTTTGTTGTCGGAGTGAGCACGTGCCACCTCGAGCAGCAGCAACCACAACTTTCCTCTGAGCTGCAGCGGAACACCCTTGTACACCCTCCGGGACAGCTGTCGGAACACCAGACGACGATTACTCCGCCGCTCGGACGAAACTGTTTTTCTACCGCTGATTGTTATTTTTTTGTTATTTTTACTTTTTACATTTATGTGGCATTTCACGCACTACGCTATGAACCTGGCGAACGGGGCTTCGATTCCCGGCCAAGGCTAACACTGCGCAAAGCACCGACGTTCAATTTTAAATGCTTTTCACCGCATCAGCTTTTTTCTGTATTTCACTAACCCACATTGATCAGCCTTGTGATGCATGGTCTCATTACCCCGATAGGCGACAAAGCTTGCGGAGGACTTCATCCAGCAGTGGATAGGAAAAGGGCTGTGAATGGCTATTAATTAACGGGGCATTTGGATACTCTACACTGGAATACTTTATAATTTAGATTACTTCAGTGCCTTGGAATCCTGGAGATGCACAACTTACGCTGGACAGTTTATGTTCTATTCATCAATTGCTCGTCTTGATCGACTAAAACAGGGAAGTAAAAAGTGGCTGCATAGACATACACATTCGGCTGGGTGCAGCAACACAGCTGCATCCCATTCTACTTGTCAATCCGCTGCTGGATGAGGGCCTCCTAATGCAGTGTGGGTTGTGGGGATTATGTTGACTATACTTCATCACACTGGACAGCGTGGGTTGGTTGAAAGCCGAGTACACTACAGCAAAGCATTTTGCTCTAATGCTCTCCGCTGCTCACAACGTAGGCCCACAGCCCATAATGCTTGCTATGCATGCAGTCATGCGGTCGCCCATTGAAAAGCGCCTCTATGCAGGCACAAGTCTGCTTTAGCTTCCAAAATCTGATGAGATTGGGTGCATTCCAGGCGACCTGGTCATCTGCTCGACAATGGAACAGCCAATTGTGTATTATTGTTGTGTATTATTGTCATGGGTGTCCCATTGTCTCCGTGCTCCGTGAACACAATGAGCCAGTCTGTGGATGACACCAAAGAATGATTGCCACCCGGGCAGTGATGACACTCAATTGATATTTCAAAAGAGTGAAAAAATAATATTACACGCGTGCGTCCATTGTAATTTGTATTACGATTTGTACGCAAAAAGCATTTACATTATTACGGAACCAATTTATCACCCTCCATTTATATCACTGCCAAATATTTAAATTCTGCCATACACCATTCCCCAATCCCCACCTGCTTTGGTAGGAATACGTTATATTCTTGCAAATAATTATACAGCAATAAAATGCGTTTCCCGTAAAAAAAAGTAATTAGAATTGTATACGAACACAAACACGACACGAGAAACCGCTTTTCCGCAATTTGCAGCTGTGACGGTGCAGCACCGCGCGCGTTCATAAATAACGCTGGTCAAAAAAAATAAAAAATTCTGGCCTGGACTTTTGCAGCTGTTTTAGACTAATTTCAGGGTGCTGATTCCAAATCTGATCTCAGATTTGCTCTATCACATCTCATTTTATGCTATCGGCATACCCCATTTTCATTGATTTTACCCGAAATTAACTCTGTTACTTGTGATTGCAAGTTGTTGCGAGTTAGTGACTGCTTTAGTGTTAAAATATGGTGCTGTATTTTTAGGATAGTGTGTTTATAACAACATTTTATGTAGATATCCACATTTATTTAATATTTTCCTTCCGCAGTTTTTATTGAAAATGCAATATTTGAAATCTCAAAAACCTGATGTGATAGACAAAAACTGATGCCAGATTTGGAATCAGCACCCCAAAATTACCTTACGACCGTTGGAATACCTTATGCCAGAAAAAGTGTGTTGACCAGTGTAATAAGCGTGCGGTCACGGCGGCGGCAAGCCAGCGAGCGTGGAAGCCAGAGGGGAAACGCAGTGGCGAGCGACGGAACAGCGAGCGGGGGCGGGCGGTGGAGACAATGAGAGGAAGAGAGAGAGGCTGGACGCAGACGCCTGTTTTTTTTTTTGGGGGGGGGGAGGGAAGTGTCCACGGTGCTGTGGGGAAACAAAACGCCACCCGCAGGGGACTCTGCCACGACCTTGTCGCTGTTCCGGTACTTGTCCCAGGTCTTGAGCATTTTCAGCCACTTGTCTGTCCGCTCGATCTCCAACAGCTTTTGCTGCACCAATAAACGAGGCAGCGCGAGGCGTTTAGCACGGTGGGGCGGTGGGGGGGGGGGGGAACGCAACGATCGGTTAGAAATCGGTTCTTGCGTTCGACACGTCCCCCCAAAAAAATCTGTACGCGAGATTCGTTTTGTTTACAATCCGTGTGTACAAACATCGAGGTGGAAGTGCAACACTGCAATTGCGAGCTCACGCCACTGCTGGCCAAACACTAAACTATTATTAAACATTTTGATTTAAAGCTTTCGTGACTGCAGGGATTCATATGCTTGGTTCTTTCGGTAAAGTCGCGTAGAAGGGAAACAATAAAATAAGAAAAATATTTATTTTTCGTTATTATTTTATTGTTTCTCTTCTACGTGACTTTACCGAAAGAACAAAGAATATGCTATTAACCAGTTTTTTTTTTATTTTACCAGGTAAGGCCCACTGGGCTATATAGCTCTTTTCACAAGTGACCAAGCCACAAATTATAGCCTCGTGAAGTGGCTTATCACGTGCAAATTTATAGCAGCCAAAAACTCTTAAACGCATGTTTCTAAATGTGGAGGGAAAAAGTGGAGGACCCAGAGCAACATGCACACGACCGCGGGGAGAGAGACACACAAACACACTCCAAATATACAGCAGGTATCGTCAGGGTCGGGATCCACACTGACCAGGCACCTTTCGCAAGAGGTGAGGGGTTACCCACACTCTTTGCCCCACGTGCCCATTTATACTGCCGGGTGGATAAAGGCGGGGAGAGCAAGACTTGTGGTACCATTGTTTCAACTGTCGTGCCGGAAAACAAACCGGCGACCTCCAGATTGCATGTACAATGTGATAACAATCCATGGATGTTCATGCGAGTACAGTATTTCACTGCCACAAGGACATTCTTATAATTCGACAATATATAATTTGTGAGTCGACCCATGACTGAGATCAAATCACAGAGATGCACCCATGATGGCCAGTGAGCTTAAAATCCAGATCTCGATGGGCTCCTTTAACTCAAAAAAAAATTAGGTGCTTGTCATTCTTTCCCTTTGTTGAGACGAAATGTCTTTCGGTCATCATTTTGAGGGCAGCTTCCTGTGTGCTACTATTAAACAATTTGCGCGGTATGTATCATTCTATTCCACATTGATAGGTGACAATCGGCAGGTTAACAAGTGTGACCAGTGTGAAACCCACAGGCTGAGCTTTGACAACGGCTGCATAAATGTGCGCAGGGCTCAGCCAAGGAGCTTGACCTGCGAGTGCGAACATCCTGTATAAATATGCTTTACAACTTCACTCGTGGCCATTTAAAGCAGGATAGTGTTGACCAAAGCCAATTCCACTCTGGAGCCAGTGTCAACGAGATGACTAGAGGGGAAAAAAAACTAGCGCACGTTGAAAACAACTTTCGCCGAGGTTAACACCTGCCGGCCAAAGTGCGGCTGCATCTCATCGATTCATCACTTGCCTTCTCCTCCAGCGCATCTGGAACTGGTAGGTCTTCGTTGCTGCAAAAGAAACCAAGGCGAACGTGTTAACACTGCCTGGCTTGCCGGGCTGTGCAGGCTGCCACAATGTTCAGAGAAGCAGGGCTCAAGAGGGATCGTTTATGCACCTGATCGTCACGCACCTTTACATCATCCGCACCTAGTTTACACAACAAAGGCCCATTCCTAACAGCGTGTTTCAGCCGCATCGAACCTCACAAAAATAATATCCAGGGCCTACCTTGGCTCCTCCCACCCTCAACCAGTATATATGCAAATACTGTGTTCTTGGAATTTCTCTCACTTGATACAGCTATCGTGCTGTGACGGTTCCACCTGAAGACGGAAGCTTGTGTTGCCTCCGAAACGTCGTGATTTTTATTTTATTTTACTTTTATTAATTGTAATTTTTTTTTACCTACGTGACTTTACCGAAAAAACCTAAGAATATGAATCCTTGCAGTCACGAAAGCTTCAAATCTAGAATCGTTTATGGAGTTTGTGGATAAATCCCTCCCGTACGAAGGAGGTCGCTCTTCCTCCACGACTTCTCAAATGCTCCAGAAGCAGAGCCGATCAGAAGACGACTTCTGTTCTATGAGGCTCTATCTGCTGCATCTCCCTCCCACCCGGCTATCCGTGCTGTTGACTTTTGAAGTTTCAGCCTCATTAAGATATTTTTCCTCTCCCTTTCTATGATTGTCTCATCACTCAAATAATAAAAAAATAAGTATGCATGATCTTTTTGTCCCCGTACAGCTCACGGTTTGTTTTAGACGGAATCCGAAATGTTGTACAGTATGTATGTTGCACTTCTTTCGCACCGCACGTAGCCACCCCTGCTAATCGGAGGTGCAAAGTTCAAGTACTGTATTGCAACGCGTAGCCTTTCGCAACCAATATTATCCATAAGAGGGTTTTTTTGTGGGTTAGATCACGTAAATATAAATGTGTCGTTTTAAAAATCGAATTATAAATGTTGCGGGTTTACTCTCCAACACACCGGTGTTCAGAACTAGTAACTAATTGGCACGCTTTGTTCACGTGACAAATCTTCCTAATTGGCTGAGCCGGGTGGTGCCGGCTTTAATGACACATTTATATTTACGCGATCTAACCCACAAACCAAACCCCTCTATTATGCTGTATTGCAATTTAAATGAACAAGCTGCACGAGTGAAATCCATGTCTTACACGTCAATCGGTCACATTGCACTGCTGCTGCTGCCACGGCGTGCTCGCAGAATCGTGCGGCGCAGGTGCCCACGCGAATGAGCGGCACCTCGGTTACGTCTTCAATGCGACCGCCAAGTGCACTTGCATTGGTGCCATGAACACGCGTTTATATATATATATACACGGGTACTCTGTATACATGGACTCATTCATACTACGCAGCAGTATGAATGAGTCCACCACAGTCATATTCTTGGTTCTTTCGGTAAAGTCACGTAGAAGGGAAATAATAAAATAATAAAAATATAAAAAATTAAATTCTCACGACGTTTCGACTTTACCGAAAGAACCAAGGATAGGAATCCCTGCAGTCACGAAAGCTTTAAATCGAAATTTACACCACAGTCAGTCGATCGGCAGGTCGCGTGTGTTCGTGGGGACGATAAAGTGTGGGTACTCGCGCCTCTCTCAAGGCGTGTGCCCAGCGTGGAAGAGTGAGGCCCCTCTGGAGAACAGGCTGGCCGGCGGACCTGTGTCTCCGGAGATGCACGCAGCTCTTCAAGAACAGCTTCGCGACGTTATTTCATTCAGGAAAGGCCGTCTCGTATATATTCACGCGCATTGCGGCTCTTGAAATATAGATTTCTGTTTTCTTTCACCGAATTATTCAGAAAAAAAGTGTCTCTTCTTCTCGTTTATTGGTTGCCGGCCCCTGCTCTAGGATCTGTGGAACTATCCTCGAGTTGGGCGGCACCTTCCTCCGCCAGCGGTTGGCGTGAACGAGATTCTCCCCTGTGGGGGCAGGGGGTCGCACCTTCCAGCGAACTCGAGGATGGAGCGTGTTGTGTGTGCGCAATGCACGAAACAAGATTTTCTGTTTTGCACCGAGCTACAAAAGAGGGATGCGGGGGGGACGAGCCAGAGATCGCAACCGGGTACCCGATACCCGTACCCTACCCGATACCCGGCTACCCATACGGGTAGCCGTTTGCGACCCTGGTGCGGCCGGGTACGGGTAGGCCGTGAGTCACTGGTGAGTAACCGTTTGTCACTCATTTCGGGTAGGATACAGGTAGGGAACGGGTACCCGTACCTGGCCGGGTACGGGTACGGGTACCCATTTGCGACCCTGGTGCAGCCGGGTACGGGTACGGGTAAGGTATCAAAACCCGTTTGCGACCTCTGGGACGAGCGCGGGAGCGCAATGTCCACTTGCGGTTCCACCCCACATCGGACGCGATCCACTGGGGCGCCGTTTCGAGCGGCAGCGCAAATCGCGAGGCGGCGAACGTTGCAGCGCAGCCGGGAGGGGGGTCGCCTATAAAATCTTACAGAGTCGTTGTTTAAGCAATGGGGTTCACATGCTGACGCGCGTGCGGACGTCGCTATTTTGAAAGCGCTGCCATGCATAATTTATCGTGTTGCCGGCCCGCTCAACGTAATAGTGTACGCGTGCTCCGTGCTCGGATTGCAGAAGAATGCGATCTATCCCTGGCAGGTTCTTTAGGCAACTGAATTATGCCCCGCAGTGGTAACCCGAACCCCGCCAGGATTTACCACACGCCAACAGGAAATTATAACCAATTTCCTGCATCTTAATCGCCGAGACCGTGGCAATACCAGCCTAATGACTTTAGTATATTTTTTTGGTGGACCAGGTGGCTTGGCGGTTAGAGCACGTGGCTTACGGCCGAAAGGTTTCCGCGTTAAAATCCTGGTTTGAGGTTGACTCGGCCCATCATCCCTCCAAGGTGGATACAATTGGTACTACTCTGTGGTGGAAGTCAACAGCGGTTGTCTTGTACACTGGCTCAGGGCCGTCAACGGGGAGTTGAGCACTGCCTCACTGCTCATTTGAGCAGGAAATCATGTTGACTATTTTTGTTTGTACGTGCACAGTGCTATTTGGGTTTGTCTCTGGCATCTAGTCTGTTTCTGGCAGGGCCAAACATGATATTGTGCTTGGGTAGCCAGGCTATGGCAGCTTGCGATGCCCTCAGACTATATGTGTGGTGTTCCTTCCAAAGTAATTTCTTTCCTATGATTGCTTTAATATTCCCATTCTGTGTGCCTTTGGCTTCCCTGAAAATTATGGCTATTAAAATGTTCATGGGTTTTTTTTCGTACGATTTAAACTGTTCAGTAAAAGTGCTCCCCATTCCTTTGCATGATCACGTTGGGTAAACAAGCGCACGTTGATTTAATTGCCATAGATTCAGGAAGGCTTTTGTGATCCCCTATCAGAAACTCATTTGTCTTGCTCAGCTGGTTATGTGCGTTAGAAAAACATTGTAATCACATGTTTTATGTGAATCTCTTAATTATATAACAATAATTAAATTGACATCCCTTTGTCGATCCACTGCTGAGTCGCCTTCAAAAATGTATTTTTCCTGAAATACAATTTGTTGCATTGATTACCATTGTCTGGGCAGCTATTGTTTTCGTTGTTAATTAATATTTGATTTGTAATTTGATATTCTACTGCCGTGCCCTTCCTCAGGAAAACGAGTCATTCGTCGAAGTGCATTTCTAAATGTTTCATTGTAGTGTACGTGTATAAATATCCCGTTCAAAAACAAATCCATGTGCACACTGTCTCTTTACAATTAACTATGTACGAGTCGGCATATTTACTAAATGCGTAGCATCCAGATACCGCAAATTCGCCTTTGCATATGCTTGATTAGCGAACTTGAGCATGGTTTTATCTCTCGCGAGTAAATGAGCAATGCGACCCTTTAATCTGGGTCACACATGTCCCACATTCATTCAAACAGTCGACAAAGTGTTCTCCAAGGAGTGGCTTTCTCGACGGTCATATTGCTCAACACACTTTTAAGTATTGCCACTGTATCCGTAAGAATGACACGATTCCTTTCCCAACTCCAAAAATAGGCATTTCCGAAATGCTTCACGAGGCGAGATATTAACGGATGAGAGCAATTTTTGGCTGACACTGAGGTCACCGGACTGAAGTGCATACCAATTCTGATAACCAGGCCAGGATTATGGTCACCCTTGGGCTCCGGGCCAGGACCTTATCTTGGTTTCCCACGCCTATGTTCACATTCCGATATCATCCCCTGCCTCTGCTTTTATGGGGCCTCACGAGCAACATCACCGATTTGGTTGCTGGTTCATTGAAAAGTTGAGTTCACTTAGGCCTCAGGTCAGCCCCGACTTCATCTTGGCCAACAATGGGGGAGCCCTGAAGCCTCGGAGCGCAAAGGTTCGTGGTCATTCACAGTCTGCTTCACAGCGGACAGTTCAGATCCTGTGACATCATTCGAGAAAGAGTAGGCCACGTGTGCTAGCATCACAGTCCACAAATTGTGCCATATTTGCAGATTACTTGGAAATTGGCCAACTGGGTAATGCCGTACATGGCGAAAGCGCAAATTGCTGTGAAACTACTGCTGACCATAATTGTTTGTGAAACGTAGTGCCCCTGCACAAGTCTTGCGCTAAAACAATGCCACGAATATTCGGAAGCGACTGGAGCTATGCACATTTAAATCTAGATTGAAAATACATATCTTTAGAACTACGTTTTGTGTTTAGTTTGTTGTCCTTCCCCAGCACTTGCGATTAGTGCAGTTGTCTCTGTATGGCGCGAAAGAAGTTCAACATACATACACATACCTGTAACCCCATATGGTTTACCCGTATTCTTGTCCAGGGAAATTGAGTAAAACATTTTTTTGCCTATTTGTTTGTGTTTCTCCCTTGTGATGGGACTTTATAGGATAGATGTTGATATTTATAAGGGCACGGGGTGACCAATGAGGTCTGAATTGGTCTATAATAAGGTAGGCACTGATAAGGGGTTGACAGGTATGCATACATAGGAATATCAAAGATGCCCATCAGTTAAATGCAAATTGAAGCCAGGCTGTTGCTCTGGGATTGCTAAAAACCCTGACAAGCCCCAATAATGCATACCCAGAGTGAGAATAACCTGGACCAGCTTACTCGCCTAACCTAAGAAAGGAAAGTTAAAGAGTAACCATTGTCTCAACGACCTCTACAGCAGTAAATTTGACACTGCGGTTAGTGGTGTGCCCATGAACGTGGCCAACGAGGGTGTAACGCACACGTGGCTACAAGACAAAAACAATATGGAGTGGAGCGCGTACAGTGGGCCCACGTACGAACCAGATCAGCGTGTTCATTGAGCTTGTGATGACGGTATTCATACACGTGGTGTTTACAGTGGCCCGCCACAGAGGGGCTCCTGGGCATGGTGGTGGCTGGGAACAGATCTGTCTGTTTGTGGATCACTCACGGCTTAAGGCCTTCCTGGTGTGGTGGCGACTTAGGCGAACAGGATTTTATATTCAGAACATGTTTTGGGATTTATTTTTTTAAATACCAACATTTCATGCGTAAGTTTCTCGGCAATGTAAGTACAGGTATGTGTTATGGTCAGGCTTATAAGTTGATCTCCATTCAATTAGTTTAAATCCTTCACTATCATTGAAGATACAACTCAATTCGAGATTCAATAGAATACTGGTAGGATGGTACTACGTAACTCTGCATGGCACAGAGTGGAGTACTAAACAGGTACAAACACTCAGTAATTGGCTGTAAACATCTTATTATATAGAGGACTGCAGAGCATGGGCAACTAATTGTTGGTAGTTCCTGCTTACCGCCTTCTTGACTGTGGTTACTCAGGGTTAGTGAGACGCAATTTGGATGAACGACGCAACATATAACATAAAAAAACTACATTTAGTTTCCAGATGAAAGCTTATGCCTGCAGATTCAAAAACTTTCAGTGAGACTACAATTACCCATGCTCCCAATTACCTGCTCTCAGAATCAATCAGCATAAAATCGTAATGTTCACACATCGATTCCATTGTCCGTGCTCATCTATGAATTATGAGCGGTAACCCAGATATCTTGACTTATTGTATTATAGCCCACGGGTAGCTGTGTGGATATGAGAGTAATTCTCGCGATTAATTGTGGGTAATAGGATGTGCTAATAGTGCTCCCCACATCAGCTCAGATAAGAAGAATGTCACTGTAGAATACTTGATAAAAACTAAGTTCATTATGTAAGATCAGATACAAATTTGTACCATTTGGTATACAAACTACTTTAGAGGCCTGAGGCATGACGAAGACTTTAAACTTCATCCTTATTTAGTCCTCTGCCCATTTGCAGTTCCATGCCTCAAAAGGCCATCCATCCATCCTGTTTGATATTGAACTTTCTTCATCATTTCACTCCACGAGGGTCCACTTCCTTCAAATCACCAAACAACATATTTCTTATTCTGCCTCTTGGCCTCGTTCCCAACATCCTTCCTTCCTTCCTTGTAAAACATTGGAGCCCCATGCGCAACAAGCCAGCCGTGTTATGGGGAGCTTCACATTTGAGAGCGAAAAAACAACAACCCAGAACAGCTCTTTGCGTTGCACCGCGATCGTGTGACCGCATTGGGCAGAAGCCCCTTGCGGGTGCGAGAAGGGATGGCAGGGTCTCACTGGAGGAATCCAAAGCGATCGGTGACTCTATAGATCCGGAAGTCGGCATCTTCCCACGGGTCGATTTCCACTCCGTCCTCGCGGCCCTGCCACGCGCACAAACAGGCAGCAGTGTCATCACGGTGTCACTGCTTCCCAGGGCCATGCTGTCCGGCTGGACTCCCACGGCGTCAACGGCCAATAGCCATAGGCGACAAATCCATTGCTAACGATGTGAAACATTTCATAGCAACGGTGGAGTGTGCAAGTGCACTTTGTATTCAGAACGCTCGCGAGGTGGCTGGGATGATATTTTATTAAAATCGAGGTTGGTATGCTTCAACTTGTTGTAATGAAGGGTATTTTCATTATTTTATTCTCCCCTTCTCTATTTTTATTGGATGTTGCCGTGGTGTAGTGGTGATCACGCTGAACTTGCAGTCCAGAGGTCACCAGTTCGATTTCCTCTCCCCGCGTGGCAAGTTGAAACAATGGGAAAGTTTTATTTTTAATCCCTCGGCCTCTGTCCACGCAGCGTGAAAGAGTAGGCCAAATACCCTCCACAGAGGCTTTCCCGAGCTCTGTCTCGTTGGAGGCTCTTCCACCAGAAAGTGTGTGAGCAAACATTTGTTGGGGCAGCACACATGTTTTTGACCGTCATTGTTTGCGTGTGTCCTACTTTTAATTAGCTTCCAAAAATAAGCACAAAATTTAAACAATTTTCATTTATACACATTAGGGTGAGAATGAAAAGATGTGTCATTAAAAATAGAATCCTTCTTGTCGATAAAAAAGGGTGCAAATCAAAAATGTATCTCAAAGAGAGGAAGAAATGCCATATGTGTGTAGAATACATCAAAGATGCCATTTCCAAACAAGCCAATTTGCTCCACTTTAAGAGTTGTGAACATCACCGGATGGACATTTTGCCATGAGAACGGTTTAAGGACAGTCAGTGCTCAATTTGTTTTACTCGCACAACTAACAATTACAATCACGATGTTGAGACTCCAGTGATTGCGTGTCGCAAATCACCGCCGAAAGCGTACAACTTACTGGGTTTTTTAATGGAAAAAGATTTGAAAATATATTCATTCTGGGGCTGTAAATTTCATTTTTGGAAAGAAAAAAAAACATTTCCACCAAACTACACGCAACGAATGTTTTGCTTATTTTTTGACTTTTTGTTATTCACCAACAATTTTTTTTTGTCCGTCAAGGGATTTGCCATTGCTCCGTTTCGAGTTACGCCAAGCGCACAACGTGGGGCTTACGCCACAATGCCGTGCATTGTGAAGCACGTCATCGCTTGCCCAAGGTATTAATGAACGAATACTGCACACCACAAATACCTGCCAAGCGTTGCCATGGCACCTGTGTGATCCACACTAAGAATGGACCCCTATCACCTGCACTGTGCCTGCTTTGTGTGAGCGGCCACTCGCCAAAAAAAAAACACTCCCCGCGCTCGCTCCTCACGAGGAGCCAGCACTCGTAATAATAATAATCATGATACTGCAGTAATAAGACAGGTGGATGTGCAGCCCTGCAGTTCATTGCTTATGGCACTGCTGATAGGACAGCCTCCACTAGGCAGGAAGCCCTTCGAGAGGGAATTAGGCCCGCTCTTCCCACACGTGGCCAGAAGGTTTGGGGAATTTGAGTACACACGTCCGTTGCTTCAACTGGAGCGCCGGGAAATTTAAACCCGGCGAATTCTGGATTTGGAAGTTCAGTGTGCCTAACCATAACACACCAATGCAGAATTCCAAAGTAACAATAATAATCTTCTTGGTTCTTTCGGTAAAGTCACGTTGAAGGGAAATAATAAAATAATAAAAATATGAAACAATAAAATTCTCACGACGTTAGTATTATTTCCCTTCTACGTGACTTTACCGAAAGAACCAAGAATATGAGTTCAAGATACATGCGGCTTAAAGAGAGACACAACCCAAAAAACAAACATCTCTTGTTTATGTTTTTTTAAACACAGTCGCTGGGCACAGGCTCAAAATGCCAAGTGGCCAGCGACAAACATCACTGGTGATGTTGTCGTAGATAACAATTGACACGTTTGTTCAATCAAGCAAGGTTACAAGCACGTTGGAATTATAGACGGTGGGAGGGAATTCAAATCTATCTCCTAAGGTGAAGAACAGGTCTGTCTTTCCGACAGACCTGTTCTTCTCTCTTTCCGACAGACCTGTTCTTCACCTGAGGATGGCTGCTTGCGTTGTGGCCGAAACGTCGTGAGAATTGTATTTTATTATGTTTTATTTTTATTATTTTATTATTTCCCTTCTACGTGACTTTACCGAAAGAACCAAGAAGATGAATCCCAGCAGTCACGAAAGCTTTAAATCGAAACAATAATAATGTAAATGAAATGCATTTGGGCATTCAATCACCAAGGCAAGCTGTGCCCACATCTGGCCTGCTCATCGCCGTCTTGAGCTCACAATGGTTAACGATTACCCACTCTTCATTTTAACCATCTTATAAAGCTGTTTAAGGGGCGGGGGGGGGGGGGGAGTTGAAAAAAATGTCCTTGCCGATCAAATTCCAGCGGGTTTTTGGGGTAACTAACCTGTCGGAACGCATTTTCCAACTTCATTTCACGCTTTGCAAAAAACAAAACGAACTCCCGAGTGCTTTAATTTTTCGGGCTGTGCGAAATCTGCCTTCACCTAACCTGGGCTGCAGCGATGACGGACAAGGTCACCGTGCTTCGTCCAGACCTACGTCGTCTGGGTGGATGGACACGCGCATCTTTCATGTGTCAGGGGTCGCATCGCGAGCACCCCTAAAAATAACGGCGCGAGGGCGAGAGCTCGGACAGCCACCCCGTCAACGCCACGCCACATGCACTTACGGTCCGGTTGTCTCCATCTGTACACGGAGTGCCGGAGTCTGTTGAGTTTATTAAAGGGAAGAACACCGACTCAGGCACACAATGTTTACACTCTAGTCAAATTGGGCCAGTCCTTGTGGACTTGTTTTGAATGGACGTGGAATGTCTTGATTTTTGCACGGCTGGCGTGAGCCCCGGGTTTATAAATCATCGCTCACTCCGTTGCTCCAGACTCCAAAATTCGAAGTCACGCGGTGGAATTTGCATGCCGTAATCGTTGCGCAAGACAACGACGTTGTGTCTGTGGTAGCCTCCGTTCAACACAGGAGCCCGCAAAAGCGCAAATAAAGCTGCATTGAAGAATAGCTTTAAAGATGGGACGGTAGTGAGCAACTGCGATGCATAACGTCAGCGACCCCGGTCGCAGTGTTTATCGTGGGACACAGAGCAACGCGTGAGGAATGCACCTTGTCGGGACAGTTCCACCTTTTGACTTTATCATCTGAACAGATAATGCGTTTCGATTTAAAGCTTTCGTGACTACAGGGATTCATGTTCTTGGTTCTTTCGGTAAAGTCACGTAGAAGGGAAGTAATAAAATAATAAAAATAAAACATAATAAAATAATTCTCACGACGTTTCGGCCACAACGCAAGCCGTCCTCAGGTGAAGAACAGGTCTGTCGGAAAGACACCTGAGGACGGCTGCTTGCGTTGTGGCCGAAACGTCGTGAGAATTATTTTATTATGTTTTATTTTTATTATTGTATTACTTCCCTTCTACGTGACTTTACCGAAAGAACCAAGAAGAAGATAATACGTTGTGTATGGGCAGAAGAGTGCTGTTTGTGGGAGCCCCCCCCCCCTCTCTCTATCTCTATATATAAAAATACTGCACGAGGTATCCGATGTAGCTATTGGTGAAGAATGAAAAGAATGCAGGAACCAACAAGGATGGTGGCAAGTGAGAGGGGGTGGTGGAAATGAGCCCAGGCCTCTGGCTTGGGAGTGCATTTCAGATGGAGCGGCCGCCGCCGCTGATACAGATAATGAATCACTTGTTGGCATAACTTTACACTTGTCGAGGTATTTTCGGATTAAAAAATAAACGTCTGCCCCATTAGTGTTGCTGTCTCAATGCTTCACACTTACATTTAGTGAATTAACACGGTAACACCGAAAAAACTATTTGCACGGATGTGCGTTCAGTTTTGACCGTGGAAGGAATGTCGGTTTCGTGATGTAAGTTGTGCGCGTGCGTGTGACCGCGTGCTTCAGGCATGTGACGACTCCCACTCCCCACCCACCACCCTGACCCTTGGAGATTCGACGGATTGTTGCGATACGGGATTGCAATAACATTGAAAAATACGTAATTTTTCCTCCCGTTTTCACCGTCTCGTTTATACAATTTTGTTCGATTTTTATGAGCCTAAATTGAACGATATCACGTTATTTGCATTTTTATTTAACCATATTTTTTCTCACATGTGGGCATCGTGAGCAAAATAACTGATATTAATCGCCAAAATCGATGCACTCTGTCACAGTCACGTGCGCGGCCAAGGCGATGGAATGTAATGAAGTCAATCACGAGGTGCACTGCCATCTGTCATCTGTCACACAGGCAGCGATTTCCTGCCAATCTCTAAACGCAGTCCCTCCACGTAACGACAAGCCGGTCGTGACGGCACGCGCAGGTGAGGGTTGGTGCATCGCACAGAATTGTAAATTGGACAAACTCAATGGGATACAACGTGGCTAAAAGGTGACAGTTTAGGTGGATTGTATCCATCCGTGCAGAGCTTCCAAGTGTTGACCCCAAACACATGTGGGTTTGCTCCGGCTATTCTGCTTTCCTTCCAAGTGACGAAAATACCAATTTGTTTAATTTTCCATACATGCCCCACAGCAGAAACCCTCCTGAAAATGCAGTGAGGCTCTGCCAAGTAAAGGTCATTATTATACAGAATTATTATCCGAGTTTGCTTTGCATTTATCCAACCATAACATTGCATGCGCAAACGTGGATTTCAACATCGGTTTGAACACTAACTTCGGTCATTTCCGGGCTTCGTCGTGTTTTTTTTTATGGATGGACAAAGCGAGAAAAATGAAGTCCACTAAATCCAATGAAATCCGCCGAAATCGAATTCATAATAAATGTGCGCGTCTTGGCATTTGCCGCGTGCGTGTCATTTATCCCTCGTCGAGGCTCTTCATTAAAGGAAATTTGTCCTGTTTATAAAGGAGCCTGCCGAATGAAGAACAGGAAGTCCGGATGAGGGCATTAATGTTTCGATGTAAAGCTTTCGTGACTGCAGGGATTCATCTTCTTGGTTCTTTCGGTAAAGTCACGTAGAATGGAAATAATAAAATAATACAAATAAAACATAATAAAATAATTCTCACGACGTTTCGGCCACAACGCAAGCAGCCGTCCTCAGGTGGAGAACAGGTCTGTCGAGACTGTCTTCTCGACTCTCTGTCTTCTCGACAAACCTGTTCTCCACCTGAGGACGGCTGCTTGCGTTGTGGCCGAAACGTCGTGAGAATTATTTTATTAAGTTTTATTTTTATTATTTTATTATTTCCATTCTTCGTGACTTTACCGAAAGAACCAAGAAGAGGCATTAATGTTGCTGACTGACGATCGTCAATATGCGTTCTCGCAAGTTGGCCGGCTGCCATGGTTGGTGAAATACAGTGCGGTGGGGCAGGGGAATTGCAATGGTAGCTGGAGCGTAAAATTGTGGCATACGCAGAACTTCCCACACAACTCCTCCCAGCCTCAAGGGATGGGGCCACTCATTTGTGGGTAGCAATGTTTTGTTTTTTGTACTTTACCAGGACAAGCAAAGATGTCAACTCCCTGCCACTTGTTCACATTCGGGTTCAAGGCCTTTCCCTTCTCTTCCGCTCGTCACTGCCCTGTCCCTTACATAAAAATTAACACGGCGCATATATAAGTGAAGAGGCGGTGCATCGGTTAAGCACGCCGCGCCGTGAACCCAGGTGACCTGACCGGGGCTGATTGTCAAATGGCGGCAATTGATACCTAGACTGGCTTTGGACCCATAAATTGTACCAACTCAACTGACCAACCGTGGTGAAGTATGGTCAAAAATCCCCCCGACTGAAAGATGTGAGAGGAGGCCTTCATCCAGAAGTGGATTGGCAAAAGAGCCGTGAATAATTATATCAACATGCACATTTCTACCGTTCCCCATAATGGACACGTCTCATGTTGTGTTCATTGTCTTGTGAGGCTGCAGTTGCATTTGGATGCTATAGACATCCAAATTGCTGTAGTAATGGCTATTAATTTATGTACTTTTTTATGGGAGACCAATCGGTGTGGTGGCTGCCTTTAAAACACAACACTATAAAGCTACAAAGTCCTCTGGGCTCGGGCAGTTATTTTCTCTTGTCCTTGCCAATTGCATGACTCGTGCGCTACGAGCTCGCACGGGCAAAACTTCACGAGCACTGGCAGCCGCTTCAAAAATCTATTACCTCACAAGGCATCAACAACAACAACAACATCAAAAACAACAACATCAACAACAACATCAACAACAACATCAACAACAACAACATCAACAACAACAACATCAACAACAACAACATCAACATCAACAACAACAACAACATCAACAACAACAACATCAACAACAACATCAACAAAACTCCCAATGCGCTGACAACTGAGCGGACGAGACGTGTTTGCTTCTGTTTGTGCAATGGACGAGTGAGTAATATTCGACAACCTTTCAGCAGCAACGACACCGGGAGTGACTATTAGATGCTCGCGATTTAATCCCGGCGACGTGGCTTAAACGCTTACGCGCGCACATCCCGAAGTAATTCAATTACAGCCCGAGCCTGGCGTGAGCATTGCCATTGGTGATCGCGGCTCCGAAACAAACGCTGGCATTTTTCGTGTGCAAGCACGTTGACAGCAGAGCTCTGGGAGTGCTGTTGGCCACACCACCCGACCGCGTGCCGTGGCGGCCGTGATAAGTTGGCCGGCAATGTCCACACACTTGCCTTCCTCTCTCGCAGCTCACTCAGGCCAACAACGGCACCTTTCACATTGATTCCCACGCTCTTCTGTAAACGGCGAGAAGCCTCGTCGGACGGGAAGAGGCGATTTGTCGCCGGCGAAAAGGGAGCGACTGATGTTCGCCACTAGTTTGACTCCTGAATTTTCGGCCTACATCAAGGCTGTTTGTGCATTTTTTACATGTAGTGCGGTGATATCACATGACATGCAAGGCTTGATGGGGAGGACCAATCCATTCGTCTTTGCTGTATAGCAATAACCCTTTGCACGTATAATTACACTGAAGAGAATGTCTCTGTTTGTCTTTGTGCTCAAGTGCGAGTTGGTGGAATGTGCAGGACTTGTCAACAACATGTATGGCACGCAAGCAGTCTGTGAAATGTAACTTTCTTCTTGCAAGGGCACCGTCGCTTCCTACCTTGTCGTACTTGGCCACAATAGCGACAGCCTCTCGGGCCAGCTGAGCTGCTGCCTCTCGCTCGTCCCTGGCTGGTGCGGATAAAGGGGAGACGACGCAGAGGAGAAGAGAGAGACAGAGGAGGAGGGAAAAACACGACAATTACAAACATCAACAAGACAGCGACAGCAACAACAAGCGTTACGGTGGCAGCCACAACCTTGCAAAAGGACGGCAATGGACAGATTCGTGGGGCACGCTCATCATGTGGCCTCAAATGTAACAGGTACAGTGACTTAGATGCAGTCGGGTAGCGATGATCTTAAGCTGATCAGTGACTTCCGGACAATGACCATGTAGAGCGCCTTGCGACAGTGACGTCTGTTCCACACCCGTGTTCTGCGTTGCAATCCTATTTATAACCGCGGGGTTTACAGAAATAACCCAGATTCAGGGAGCCTCTGCGCTGAGCCACAGGAAAACATCAGCAACGCTGGCTCTCGCCGTCCGAGTATAACCATATACGGCAAACGCGAGGGAGTGCAGTCGTTCGCTCTCTTCCTGAGGCCGGCCATTATGAACGATGTTTATCCAGTCGACTAGCAAACGACCCCCACTGCCCGTACGCGTGACCCTTGACCTACCGGCACAACTGCGGTTTTAGTGCCGCGACGTCTTTCAATGCTGTCCCCCTTTTTTTTCCGTTGCTCACTTTTATTTTCATTGCAAAGCGATCACCGTCGTCATAATCGTCATCATCAGCCACGGACAATCCGCTGCTGGATGAAGGCCTTCCAAAGCCGCCGTCGAATTATTGCACGACGGCGTTTTTTAACCTCTTTGTTTGCTTCATGGCAGTACTTTTTATTTTATTGCCTTTCTCGTAATGGTTACCCAGGCCACTCTTGCAAATGAGATTCCTCCTCGTCTTTTTGAGTTGTCACCTGGTTAAACGAAATCAAACTTAACTTAACAATGAACAACGATATTTACAAGCACCTCTGCTTAGCACGGTTGCCTACGTACGGTGCGAAGGAAGTTCAATGTACGTGCAAAGTCCTTTCAGTTTATTTAACTTTTTATCTGTAAACGCAGTTGCTGATCACAGGCTCAATGGCCCAGAACGTCGAGCGGGCAGCAACAAACGGCACAATTAAAAGTTGTAATCGACGAGGGATTCAAGTGATTCTTGAATCGAGCACGGGAAGATTAAGGTAGAGAAGCGTTTGGACCTGCAGTGTGGTGGTTGGCCACAGTGTGGATGAGATGAAATAGTAAAGCCACTGTGGGCCGCAACAGTGGCGAGATGCTAACTACCTCGCCTGGTATGCAGGAGGTCGTGGGTTCAATCCTGCCCCTGACGCCTGCTGTATATTTGGAGTTTGCATGTTCTCCCCGCGGTTGCATAGATTTTTATCCGGGTACTCTGGTTATTCCCTCCACGTCTAGTGTTTACAAGTATTTGGCTGCTGTAAATTTCCAGATGATAAGCCACTTCGTTGAGCTATCATTTGTGTCCAGGTCACTGCAGAAAAAGAGCTATATAGCTCAGTGGGCCTTATCTGGTAAAATAAAAGTTCTAGTTTAGTTTTTAGTAACATCCGGTCGACCGAATTGATCCACCTTCGATATTCTTTACCCGCCATGGCAAATAGTATGACTATATTTTATTATTGTTGGTTTCATTAACGTATTAAAAGTGTATTTATTTAGTTATTTTGTGGAATAGCCATATGTTGTTTTCATGTCATAAGTGTCCTGAGGCTTGGCGCTTCAGATGATAATTGCATACGCCTCACCTCACGTAACCGAATCTGTTTAAAAAAAAATATTGAGCACCATTTTTTTTTTACTCCACATAATTAATAAATCCCTCGGCAGCACAACTCAGAGAAAGGGGGGAGCTGTACAAATTTGGCAGCGAGGCTCTTAGCAGATGTGCGCATCGGTTAACTCTTGCATGTCCGGCTCCTTACGACGCCGCTTGGCAATCACGGCAGAGTCCGAGAGACATCACTGCTCATCCACAAAGTGGGCACCCCAAGAGCACACCACCACCACCGCCACCACCACCATGACCACCGCAGGAAACTCGTGTGCGAGACTCTTGTGCGCACGAGTTGCCTGCAATGGTGGTGGTGTTTTAGTGATTGGAATAAAAAAACTAAATATTGAACGCCATTTTTTTCTATCTCACGTAATTAATAAATCCCTCTGCAGGAGGTATAAGAAAGTGATTTGTGATTTGTTGTCCAAAGACGGTCGTTGCACCGCGCGCTTTCAGATGCGCTTCTGCGGCCGTCTGGAACGCTCTTCCTTCCGATATTAGGAAGCCACTTGAGATACGCACTTTTAAATCTAGGTTGAAAACTAATTTCTTTAAAACTGTTTAGTTTGTTGCCCTTCCCCCCGCACCTCCGATCATCACGGTTGGCGACGCACGGTGCGAAAGAAGTTCAACCTAGATAGATTGATGGATTGACCCTTTGGAAACGTTTTACTGGGAGAAGCCCCGTTTCACATTTGTGAGGATTCGCTGACACCGAACGAAATTCAGTGAAAAGATATTTACAGCCTTTTCTCGATTCACCGCCGGATTAAGACCTCCCTCATCAAGCTTTGTCAATCACAGAGGGGGTTGTTAGACCACACTTCACCACACCGGTCAGCTTGGGTTGGTGCATTGGCGGTGGCCTCTCTTAGCTGAAGCCAGGAATAGAACTCAGCTCCACCAGATTCATAGCGCAGCGGCTTAACCGCTGCGCCACCGGTCCATAAGCAAAGCTTACCGTATAAATCCGAAATCAATTACGCCAGAGCTCATCGATATTTACCTGCATATTTATCTCACCCCTCCCCGGCAGCAGCGATCGGCGAACGCAATGAAACCGAGCGCCGCTGCTATCGCGTTTCTAATTCAGAAAGATAAAGGGTTAAGCCGCCGCTGCCGCTGCGCCCCATGCGTTATAGCCATGGCAACAGACGCTCTTTGGCAGATGAGACGTACAGATTTCCCATGCACCGCAAGGCTCCCTCCTTGAGGTAACGGAAGTGTGCGTACATTCACAGAAGCCTCACGTTTCCCCAGCCCCCCTTCCGCGCTCCGCCTTCCTTTTCAATGAAGACACAGTTAAATATCGCCATAGCAACGAAAGATTTATCGGTGTGAACTCTGACGCGCGTTTCATTTGTGCGTTGGATGGAGAACCCCCCCCCCCTCACTTGATTGTTATCCAGTGGCAACCCCCCCCAGTCCCCCCCTCCAGCCCCCCCTCCACCCACCCCCACCTTGGCTATTCCCAATTTCTTTCTCTGCTACCTTGACGCGTCACCTGCTTCTTTGAGACCGTTTCGTCATCGGTCAGAGTCTGCGATATAAACACCTCCCTCCGTTGATTTGCGCCGGTAAATTGGGGACGAAAACGAATGTGTCACCCTCTCCGCCATATCTACAGAGACATTCGTTTTCCCGACTAAATGCGTTTCTCCGTCACGGAGAATGCCGCCTGCTGCTGCTGCTGCTGCTGTTGCTCGGTATTCCGGATATATTCTGTTCCGCGATGTATAAACACGCGTGCGTGCGTGCGTGCGAATTGAGAACAGATTTGATTTGTCTCGCGCCCCACCTCCCCCCCACTTCGAAGTGCATCGCCGTCCTGCGCTCCGCAACGCGATCGTCCCGAATGCCGCGCCGCGTTCATCTCTGCAGCCCTCTGCGACGACGACCAGGCCCGTCCTGGACGAGCGACACGTCTGGAAATTTATTTTCCTTCTAGATTTGAAGCTTTCGTGACTGCAAGGATTCATATTCTTAGGTTTTTTTAGGTAAAATTAATAAAAGTAAAATAAATTTTTATTTTTTACCTACGTGACTTTACCGAAAAAAACCTAAGAATATTAATTTATGTTCCCTCCACTCATCCCCGTACCGGCCCAACGTGAGGACAGCCGACAAGTGGGGGAAGACGGACGCACGCGCTTCGCGGGAAATAAAAATTAACCGGTAAAAACAAAGTTTTTCACTATAAATCCTTTATATGCGTGGCATCGGTTTTATTTTATTATTCATTTCTGTTTTTCTTGAGTAAGAGTCTCATTTTTATCACATTGGCATTTAAAATTAAATATGATTTTTTTTTTTCCTAAAAAGTGGAAAATTTTGGAAAAAAATTTTCACGAAAATAAATTGTCACGATTGGATCACGGGAAGTGGGTTAAAAAACGACCGAAAGATTTGCACGGTCGTAAGCACGCAAGCAAGCAAGCAAGTGAACTTAATATAAAGGATTTAAAAAAAGAATCACACCCGGTGCCTCCTCCCCCCCCACTCCCCACGGCTAGACACTGCGCTTGTTGTAAAAGTCCTTGGCGCAGCGAACGAATCGGGGCATCGATCGAACGCACCTCGCAACAACAACAACAACGACGACGGGCAATTACAAAGGCTCAAGCACATCGAAGGAAAGAAACGGAAAGACGCGACAAGCCACGCGCGCTTGGGATTTCATTGCGCGGGTGATTACACGCTGGCACGTTGTCGGATGGGCGCGAGCGGTCATTTTCCCCCGACCGCGACGGTTCTTCCACGTTGCGCCTCGTGCGGGGCGAGCGATAGCGACGCGCCAGTAAAGTAAAGACGTCCCGCCGCCGGGCTTCGACGCGGCATTTGCAAAATGCCGGTGCGGCGTCTCTGCATTGTGACGGTGACTGGCGGTGCGGTCCCATTACATGTCCGTGCGCGGGCGTATCAGGTGCAGCTTGTACCGTATTGGCACGACATTGCATCAAAGACGAGTAACCCGTTCAGTCGTGTGGGCAGTGAGGGATCTTATGGGGGGGTTAAGCCAACCCCCCCCCCTCCCTTTAATCCCACAGCTCCCTGAGCCCCTCTATTCAGCACGTGTGGCACTAATTTACGTGACGCGCACATCACAGGCTATCTCTTAAGAAGGACATCTTTTAAGAGACTTAGCTGGGACATTTGTTGCAAGGGGCGAGAGACGATAGTGTCATGTGATCTGGCCAAGCACTCGAGGCTGGAAGTGTGTGTGCGTGGGGAGGCGCCGCAGTGGCTAGGAGATGTTAACTACCT